TTTTACCACTTAGTAAGGTACATCTAAATAGCTTTAGGGCTCTTAAAGTAAGCTCTTATTTAGGTAACTATAGTAGTAAGGTCTTAGATATTCCTACTACTAATTTAGGTAAAATAAAAGGTAAAAGCCTTACCTTTAAGTATTAATAAGAAGGCTAATACTATTTAGTGTCTCTTAATACTAATTTTACTATAGTTATTATAGAATAAGTTTAACTTAATGTTAAATATATTATATATCTTGCTAGTATACTTAGATTTATTAGTAATAATCTTAGTTAAGGTACCTAATTACTAGGAGAAGGATAGTTACTAGTAGTACTACTCTTAATTAGCAGTAGCTATCCTATGCCTTAGGGTTCTATAGGATTAGTGTGTAAGTAAGTAAAGGGTTCCTACTATAATTAATAATAGGTAGAGAAGGATAATAGACTATTACCTTATTAAGATAGTCCTTATGTTAAGTTATATAGGGAAGTAGTAAATCTTATATAGATTAAGTTACTATAGTAATACTAGGGTTTACTACTTTTGCTAATATAACTTCTGTACTTGTTTATTAAGTTAGGTCTATATTATTACTAGTTATTACTTAAGGTTTATAAATATTACTAGGCTTTATTTAGTTATATAGGTAATAGGTTACTATTACTGTTTTTACTTATGCTATTCTAGGCTAATATAACTACTTAGATATTATTTAAGAAGCTATTATATATTTTAATAAGCCTATTAAATATTACTAACTTATACTATACTTTTTAACTTCTTTATCTATTAATATAAAACTTATTATTATTAATAATAGTAGTAAGGTATAGGGTAATCTGTTAATAGTCTTTAGGTATAAAGACGCCTTAGTTAAGAAGGAAGTTATAAAAAATTAACAGTAGTGTTTTACTAGTAGCACTAAAGAGGTCTTTGTCCTATCTATTAAAGTAACACTAAAAGTCCCTCTATAGCTTATAACCTATAAGGGCATATTTAGCCTATTTAGCTATATAATAGGTAAAGTAAAGTAAATAGTAGAAGGGTCTTGCTTATTAAGAAGGATTTCTTAGCTATACTTCTTATAGTTAATATATCTTACTATAGAGGTAGGCACCTTAGGGTGTAAAGTACTACTAGATTAACTTATTATAAGGTTAGTTATTAAGGTTAATTAGTAGTAATTACTATATAACTTTTATAGTAGTAATTAAGTAGTAAGTTTCTTCTTAATATAACTTACACTTATAAGTCTAGACAGTGCTAGGTTATTTTATATATATAAGGTAGATAAGGATAGTTTTCTAAAGAGGTAGATATAAAGATAAAAGGAAAGTTAAATAAGGTAGTAATTATTACTACTTAAGTGTCTTTCTTAATAGCGCTATAGTTAGCGTAGAAGAGATTCTTGCTTATTAAAGGGTTCTAATAGGTAATAGACGCTATAGTGTTTCTTGTAGAGGTAAAGTAGCCTTAATAATACTTAACTTAGTTAGTAGTCTACTAGGTTATAGTAGGCTAGGCAAACTCCTGTAATAGTAAGCCTTATTAATTACTAGTTATTAGTAATAATTAACTATTAATTAATATTAGTTTTTACTAGCTAATTAATAGGATCCTATATCTTATAATATTATAAAGGTTAAAAAAAGGTAGTTAAATTTATAGTTATTAATAGTTAACTAGTTAACAAGGTAAAGTAGGAGCATAAGTGTAGTAGCACCCTTGTGTATAGGCAAAGGTAGAGGATTCTGCTAGTAGGCAGTATATCACATGACCTACTGCCTCTAGCTATATTACCTATATACTAACAAGACCTATTAAGATCTTTAGGTTAATAGCCTTAAAGTTACTAATAAGCTAGTTAGTAAGGTCTTCTTATATATAGTAAAATAATTTATTACTAAAGTAGTTATTATACTTAGATTTACTAAGGTAAAATATAATAATAGTATTAAGTATAAAGAACTATTACTTCTTTATAAAGTTAATTAGTAACCTTATAATAATATCTTTTCTTTATTAGTATAAAAAAATATACTATATAAAAGTAAAAAGTATAATAATAATATTATTTATTACTACTATTTTTTTTACTATATTAGGTAATATATTATATTTACTATAAATCTTTTCTTTTTATTACCTTATAAGTAAAAGTATAGTAACTTATAAGCCTTACTTACTTATAAGCTTATCTTATTTACTTATCTTAGCTTAGGTCTTCTACTTATAGGTATAGTATTATTTACTATTATCCTTTATTAGCCTAATAACCTCTTAAATATAGGTGTTTCTTCTAGTAGACTAGAAGGCGTATATATTTATTAGAAAGATTACTACTAGTAGTATTAACAGTTAGAGAAAAATATACTCTTATAGATAAATAACTTAAGGAAAAATAATAGGCTATTATATTAGCTACTTATTAACACTATTAGTTAGTAAAAGGAGAAGAAATAATAGGCTATTATATTAATAACTTATTAACACTATTAGTTAGTAAAAGGAGTATATATATAAAGAAAAAAAGTTAGTAAGCTAAAGAGCTTATAATAAATAAGATATAGTAAATAATTACTAGTTAGCTATAGGTATATAAAGTAAAAGGTTTTTTATAGTTAAAAGTACTTTTCTAAAGATAATAAAGCTTATATAATAGATATAAATTAATAAGGTTTTTACTAGTTAAGAGGACTAGTTATATATTTATTAATTAACCTATTATAATAGGTAATTAGTATAATATTATAGTAAAGGTATTTATAAAGGCGTTTTTTAGTTTTTACTTACTCTAGGTATATAAATAATTAACTAGTAATAATTACCTCTTCTTATAGTCTTTACTAATCTATAGTTTAGATAGTAAAGTTAACCTATATAGTTAATACTAAAGTTAACTACTAATTAGTGTTAGTAACACTAAGGGATAAGTTAATATAGTTAACTATATATTCTAGTAGTAATTAATAAATAATAAGGGTAACTATAGTTCTTTATTATATATAAAGAAAAAAAGAATAATTATTATAGGTTAATTAGTTAAATAACTAACTTATTACCTATAAATCCTTAGAGAATCTATAGCTAAATATCTAAGGATTTACTAGTAATAAGTTATTAAGGTTAACCTAATAACTCTAATATTTATCTGTAATAGTTAATATTGTAATAATAATACCTAGTTAGTTAACTATAAATAGTTATAATTTAAGGTTAAAGGGTATAGACTAGTTGTTTAGCCTTTAGTTATATTAAGAGGGGATTATACCTTTTAGTTAGCTAGAATAACTTAAGTTATACTTAAGTAGTATATAATTACTTTATATAATAACAGTAGAGTAGACCTATTTAGTTACTTAATAAGAAGTTAATTTACTTTTACGTTTTACTAAGTATATATATATATATAAAGCCTATTTAACACTAGTAATAATTACTTTTTCTTATAGACTTTACTAATCTATAGTTTTTATAATAAAGTTAACCTATATAGTTTATAGTAAAGTTAACTACTAATTAGTATTAAAAATACTAAAGAATAAGCTAATATAGTTAACTATATATATTAGTAGTAATTAATAAATAATTAAGGTAACTATAGTTCTTTATTATATATAAAAATAAAAAGAATAATTATTATAGGTTAGTTAGTTAAATAACTAACTTATTATATATAAATTCTTAGAGAATCTATAGCTAATTATTTAAGAATTTACTAGTAATAAGTTATTAAGGTTAATCTAATAACTCTAATATTTATTTATAATAGATTAGTAGTTAATATTATAACACTATTAAAAAGTAATATTAGCCTTTTATATTTATTAAGGTTAATCTAATAACTTTTATATTTACTTATAATAGTTAATATTATAATACTAACCTAGTTACTTATAAACTCTATTATAGTTAACTATATTACTATATTCTTAGTATAACTAATAATTATTTTATTATTTAAAGATATAATATTAAAGTAGCTTACTTCTTATTATAGTTTACTAATAATATATACATTTATTATATAAGTTTCTTTTATAATATAAATACTACTTAAGTAAAAAAAAGTAAGTTTTTTTTCTTTAATATTATATTATAAATAAAGTTACTACTTAGTACTTACTAGTAAGCTAGTAGGCTGTCTTGCTAGTTACTAAAGTAAAAGCTTCTATTAGTGGAAATTTCCTGTAGTGTTACCTATTCTAGCCTAGTAGATTATATGCCCCACTTTGCCTACGCCTCAGCAAACGCCTACAGGAAACGTTCTAACCCAATTAGAGCAGATTCCCGTATGTCCTCTGTACCCTCCGCCAAACCGAATCTAGCCTAGCACCAAAAGTGTGAGTCACACTTTGCTTCGGACCAAGGATTGCGTCCATCCTTCACGAAGGCGGAGCTAGTGTCTCCCCTCTTCAAATACATCTGGCATCAGTATACAATCACTGTATTTCTGTGACCTAGCCGGCCTTCGTGTGCCTAGGGAGAAACATCGGTACAAGAGATCGTGGTACCCACCGATGTACCTTTCTTACAGGGCTTCCGAACCGTTCGCCCTTCGCCTTGTCGCCTTCGCGGAAGTTCATTGTCGGCATTTTTGGCCTATTATTATCCGTCAGGCTACAAAAGGCCGCTAGTCCCTCCGAGCCATCCTCCAAATTCCTGCCCTCTTTCCTTCCCTTCTCCATCATCACCACACTATCACAGAAACCACATCCAGTTGAAATTGCCTCAGAGGCCAGCAACCATGCATTAAATCACCATCTCCCGGTCTTCTCGCTTCCCAGCCCGCAAGAATTCATACCACAATTTCACCAACTTCTCTCCCCACCCAGTTCAATCCTTCAGTTCAACCTCCTCAGGTCGATCTGAATTTCACTACGGCTTCCAGCTTTAGCTCAGGTTCTCCCTCGTCTGTAACCATTCAACCGCAAGACTTCCCAGTCTTCACCACGGATTCCCAATCACAATGGCTCCCCTCCAGTTCACCCAGCCTGCCGGCATTACCCGCGCATCAACAACAGTTCAGCCCACCCGAGCAACCTCAACAGGACTTCGTCTTGTTCGACCACCCTCGGACCAATCAACCTAGGCACTCAGCTGCACAAGCTGCCTTTAGTCTCAACCAACGTCGTCACTCGTCTCATCATCTTCGCCAGCACCAAGCGCAAGGTCGCGTACAGCCTCATCACAACCATCGATTCGCTCGGATTCAGGCTTCTGGCCCACGTCAGCACCCTCGGTTGTCTGCGGTGTACTCTCCTGCTCAACCAACCCAGTTCTACGCTTCATCCGCCCCGTCCTCCTCGGCCGCATTGAATCGTCGTCAGCGCCCGCCTGTCCCGTTGTTTTCCCAGAGCAGTCACGAACAAGTAACTCCCAAGATGGACCTGCAAGGTATGTTGCCTCTTCAATTTGCCTCTCCGCAATCGCTAACCTAGCTTAGACTTGGATCTTGATGACTTTACTGGCTTTGAGGGCGGCGCCTCTACCACCTACTCATCGCCCGTCATGCCCTCTGTCTTTGACCTCGGCGGAAGCGCGTCTGGTGCCAGTCACTTGGGAACAGTGTCTCCTCAGGACTTGCTTATCCAGGAGCCCTTCATGTCTGCTCCAAATTCGACGGCTTTGACAGCTTTGACCTCGCCCTCTGTCTACAACGAGTCTCCGGAGTTTAACGATAGCTATGATGTCTCTCCCAACTTCGGTACTGGCGACTTCGGCACTGGTGATTTCGACTCTGCCTCGGGTGACTCATGGTTTCCATTGTTCCCCCAAGATCCAGCACCAGCCAGTAAGGACGCTGTTGCCGACAAACAGCAACTGGTCGAGCAGTCGTCTGCCACCAATGCTGATGACCTCGAGGTTGTTGAGTGCTCGTCTTCCTCTGGACATCGCAAATCTGCCAACTCATCTCCCTCCGGCTCCGCACGTCATTCCTCCGTTTCGGGTGTTAACTCTCGTCGACGAGACAAGCCGTTGCCTCCCATCATCGTTGAGGACCCCAGTGACACTATCGCCATGAAGCGAGCTAGGAATACCCTTGCTGCTCGCAAGTCTCGCGAGCGCAAGGCACAACGGTTTGAAGACCTTGAGGAGAAAATCCGCAAATTGGAAGCGGAGCGCGATCACTGGAAGAGCATTGCTTTGGGTCGTTCTTGAATTGTCGGGCTGGAACGTATTAGTGAACTTGGAGGGGATCCCCAGACCGCATGTGGTCCATTTTCTCCCTTCATCTTTATTTCCTTCAATGTTGCCATTTATAATCGAGGCAGGCTTTTTGTTTTTTATTGTAGTTGACCCCATGGTTTTCTTTCCATATCCCTCCAATGAAGCTTCTTCTTATGAATGACTGCCTGAATGGATCCCAAGGACCTGACAGCGCTTAAAGCTTCTGCGCTCCTCAAGATCCGAAACTGTATGACTTAAGTCATCAGAGTCTGTTAGACAGCAACTCCAAGCTGGACTTTGGAAAATGATGGTGGTGATAGACTGGACCATACTTGTTTGACCCCACCTACTTCGTGAACTTCACTGATTCACTCGCTATATTAAATCTGAATTATCACTTTCAGTTTGGCCACATTTTCATGCCGTATGTCTTGAAGCACCATGTTCAGGGTGAGTATAGGCTATATCTTGCAGCCTGCCTTTGGTTCCGATGTCTCAATTGAATGTCCTGGCCAATTACCCGTGTTGTAATATTTGCAGCGTAACGGCAACAGTAGGCTCTGAGCCAAATGTGCTCAGTTCTGTAAAAACATATAATGACCAATGCCCCCGCAGGGATCTCTTGTAGGAAGGTAACAGCTGTCGTGCTTGTCACCAGTTTCACAGATTAGTGATTCCGGGCTGAAGCCCAGCTAGGATCAGCTGCTTCCGTGGGCGACGGTGACAAGGCCCGTCTTCTCGCAACCGCCTCCTCTGCCCAGTCAGAGAGCTCGCGAGGCGAGCTTTGTCGTGATGTCGGTCTCTCGTACTGAGTTGGCGAGTGAACCATGTCCTGCCGGGCTTTCGCCCATAGTCAATTCTCGGCTATGCGCTCGCCGCCGGCGCTAGTTTCGAGGATTTCGTTGTTTACAATGTCTTTGTTCCCATCCCGAAAATCCTTCATAAGCAGGAGAAATTGGGAGTTTTTCCACTTGTCTCCTTTCTCATGCTGAACTGACTGTAGAATTTGCCTTGCGGCTTCCGATATCTCCGTTTGAGACTGAGCATCCTCTACGGGCCTGGGAGCTGCCGATTCAGAAGTTTCGTGGAGTTTGAGTTGTGACATATCGGGTACTTGCTCCAAATGATTCTTGCTGCTCGGCACAGCGACGTTCCTCGTGTCGAACAGGCTTTGCCCATCATTTACTTGTTGGTTGCTAGTCTCTGCAACAAGGTGTGTTCGCGTGTGCTCCGCGTTATTCTCTAAGGAAACACTCGGCGGTGATATTGTGGCGGTATCTACTGAAGCGGCGAGGTCGATGCTAAACGGTTGGCCGGCAGTGCTAGATTGTTGTTCTTCTTGCTGTTCCAACTCTTTCGCAATCTGTTCCATAACGGCGTCGACATGTTCCATTCGGCCGTCTCCGTGCGTTGCCACCCACTGGCCCATTTCAAGATCAAAATCAGCCTCAGCGCTGGCCGCATTACTGATGGCGCTGCCACCAACAGGCCTAGAAATAGATGGTCCAGCTTGTAGGGGCATCATGTTGTGTGGGAATGCGGGCGGGATCGATGGACGGTATTGGGTAGCCATGAACCCAGACGGTAGGCCCCCTGCATTCGAAACCCCGCCGACAAACCTTGTGAAGTCCTGCGCCCATGTGGGAGTCGCTGTTGGCGAGTTTGCGGCATAATTTTGCCTGTGTGGTGTATGCATAGCTGCTCCATCGGCTGAATTCGATACTCGAGGAACGGCAGATTGATTTGGACCAGGAGAGAGTCGATGAAGGTGCCGAGTATCTGGCATCTGAGGCGTCTGCGAGGCCTGGAAGGACCTCGTGATAGGGGTGACATAGGTTGAAAGCGTCGTTGAGTCGATTTGGCCAGTTGAATCTGATCCAAGAAATGCGCCGAAGTTCGCTTGTGCCTGTGCTGAAGTGACTGAGCTGGTAGACCGGAAACCCTGGCTTTCGATTAGTAGAATGGCCAAAGGATCACCTGTCCTAGGAAATCTCTTACCTGCTGGACACGGGGAGCGTCGACGAAACGATCTTGGTGAAGGCTTCGATCATGCGAGCCATGCTCTACAAGGCTCTTGAACGCCGTGGAGCCGCCACAGGAGCTATCGGACATTGCGAAGTAATCCAAGCCGAAGTACTGGCAAGAACAAAACCTATCTTTGTCTTGGACTAGAAGTGATACGGTGATTATCGAGATGAGGGATTCTGTCCGAAAGACTTGAAGTGATAGGTGAAGCTGTGGTCCGTTGGTGTAATGCTGATGTTACTTATAACGAGAATACACATTGTCTATCGTATAGGGAAATGATGTGGTGGTCCGGAGAGGGTTTCATGGTCAAGCGGTCCAGATCACGGTGCCCACTAGGAAAGGCATCCAGAGATTGTGGCGATGTGCCCCTTGTGACAGGTTTGTCAATGTCGGATGCACTGATAATACAGAACAGTAGTATGCAGTACCTCGGCATCAGCCTACCTCGAGTACCCACCCAGGCAGGAAGTAATCGGTAGTGGAAGGCGGGGGAAACGGGGCAAAACGCAAGTAATCTCACGTGCCAATCATGGGTCTCGAGAACTCATCGGAGGATATTTAAGCCGAACGTCAAGATCCACGGACCACGAGCCAGTAGTCCATCCCATACCGCCTACCACAAATGCTCGAGTTCACGAAATGCTGCGTTATCGCCGAGGTACGTACACAGCATTGCCAACGATTGGGTCTTAAGCTAAGGCTAGCTTGGAAGTAGCTCTTGAAAGGTGGCTACTGTATTGAAGCAACATCACATTTACCACCACCTTGGCGACGTGCAGCGAACGGTATTATTTGTTTTCCTTAGATCAACTCATCTCAATCGGTCCGGCCCTACAACAGACGGTCCCTTGGACATTTCCACTCGCAATGGTTCGTTCTGTCCGTTCACCCCCTCTATGTTTGGTGCTAACATAGGCTATCTTGGTTGGAGGCTTCTGCCCAGGTTATATCGAATCCAGGTCACGATGATATGATTGTACGAGTTTCTCCATGGATGCCTCCCGTTCTGCTTTGTATTTGGTTGATGCTCACTCCAGGCCCGACTGCGAGCCTGGCACTAAAACCAAGCACTGCGGCTCCATGTCCCACAAGCCACGCAACGTTGTTCTGTCGAGCTAATCATGTTCTACCGCACAGCACGATGCCGTTCTTGATTACTATGGTCGCCGACTTGCGACGTGCTCAAGCGATCGGACCATCAAGATCTTCGAAATAGAGGGAGACTCTCAGCGACTCGTCGAGACCCTCAAAGGGTAGGCACCCTTCAGACTTAGACCGCGTTGGACGTTTGTTCCTCCCGCTGACCCTGCGACAGTCATGATGGTGCAGTCTGGTGTGTTTCGTGGGCGCACCCCAAATATGGAAATATTCTAGCCTCGGCAGGCTATGACGGCAAGGTTTTCATCTGGAGAGAGCAAAACAACCAGTGGCAGAAGATCTTCGACTTTGCCTTGCACAAAGCCTCCGTCAATATTGTCTCATGGTCACCACACGAATCCGGCTGCCTCCTAGCATGCGCCTCCTCGGACGGGAATGTCAGCATCCTTGAATTTCGCGATAACAGTTTCGACCATGTCACCTTCCCTGCTCATGGGTTGGGTGTCAACTCTGTTTCGTGGGCTCCAGCAATGGCACCTGGAAGCATTATCAGCAGCTCTCCCGGCCCTGGTTCAGCAGGTGTAAGACGTTTTGTTACGGGTGGCTGTGACAATCTGCTCAAGATTTGGGTCTTCGACTCGGCCTCAAAGTCGTACAAGCAGGAACAGGAGGCGCTTTCCGGCCACACGGACTGGGTTCGTGACGTTGCGTGGTCACCAACGGTTTTGCAGAAGTCGTACATCGCTTCGGCGTCCCAAGATAAGACTGTTCGCATCTGGACCTCAGATGCGTCAAGTACGGGACAGTGGAGCTGCAAGATCCTCACCTTCGATGCCGCCGTCTGGAGAGTCAGCTGGTCCTTGAGCGGCAACGTTCTGGCAGTGAGCGGAGGTGACAACAAAGTGTCGTTGTGGAAGGAGAACCTCAGGGGTGATTGGGAATGCGTTAAGAGTATCGAGGAGTGATTCGGATATTAATGTGTCACCATATGCAAGGCGTTCGCGACAAGATAGAGCAAAGATACGCGATTGCCCTCCTGGGTTCGACGTCCAATTGAAGCTGCTGTTGCAGTCAAACCTGAACCTGACGCCGCAGGTATGGAACTGGGCGATAGAGGAAGAAACAATAGGCTTTTTTCTTGAGATTCCATTACGATCATGTCGGCTCGTGGCACACCATTCCTCTAGGCAGCCCGTTGAATGTGGTGCGTAGCATGCAGGTCTCGTCACTGATCGAGCCTCGCGACGAGGTCGCGGCGGACCCTACTGAAGAGCTCGTTGACGTTGGTACCTCAGTCCGTTGGAAGATCGTATATCTCCCATGTAGTATTGGATGTCATGAATAGTCTGCTGGCCATCCCAGGCAAGTCGTATGGGTCGAAAGCAACTGTCCGGGCAGTCAGTGATATCCGCATTGCTAAAAATGTCAGTTAAGGAATGTTCGGCTATTCGTTGGCTCTAGGCACACATTTGCAAAGCGCGTGCCGGATAGTGCGTAGCCAACGGGTTCATCTCTGTTCCTTTGATGTGTCAGCAATCAGACGTCATCCAGTCGCAAAAGCGCAGCTTCTTCTCAATCCATAGCTTCCATGAATTGTAACAAAGGCTTCGGACTTGTCGGGTGTGAAGTTGATATCTAGCGGGGCAGTGTGCTTGGAAGGACAACCTTGGCGAGATGTGACTAACGGTGCAGTCGTGTCGTTGAGAGTGCGTGACGAGGCCAGAACAAATTGGCCCCCCGTTCCCATGCTACCTCTGTCCGGAAAGCTTCGGTGGACCACAGTGTGAAGCAGTTTGGGTAGCCGTACCTAGCCCCTAGATTCTCGATGGTCCGATCGATGCACCTGTGGAAATTGAGCTCCTTCGCAGGGTTGTCTCGATGTATGTCGACGCAGTTTCTCTTCAACTGGAAAGCCGTATTCTCGACGGTCCCAATGCCACTAGTGATGGGCTCCTTTGCAACTCCGACAGAATTTCGCAGCCCCTGCCCCGGTACAGTGCCTTGAGTCGTAAAGTTGAACGGTTATGAGTTTTCACCAAGGCTCCCGATATCGAATGCGCAAAATTGAGAGTGACCAGTGCATTCTCTGGCAGCATCTCCGTCGGTATCAGCCACGCTGCCCCTTGATACTAATAGGATATCGGTGTTTGTATTGGGCAGCAACAGCGTGCGCGTCGTATGGTCAGTGTTGTGCATATTGATGACGATGGTTCTGTTGGAGTCACCAGCAATGCCTTCTATGACATCATAGAACCAGGCATAGACTCTGTCAGCCGTCGAGGCATAAAGGAAACCACCATTTGGTGGTAGTCCTATTCCGTGGTTCAGATTGGAGTCATGGGGCTTGTAATGTTAGTCGAACTGAAGTAAAACACTGCTTTGGACACTGCCTTACCTCGGACGACTCATCAATCGTTCGCTCCTTGGAAACTGTCAAATAAGTGTCGCCGTCGTCATTCAGCGTCAGGTGTTTAATTCCGGATCTAGCATCAGAAAACAGGAGAGCTCCTTGCTGATCGAACAGAGTGCTTTGGGGACGATTGTAGCACTCAGCAATGAGACGAAACGTTCAGCGCGGCGATAGGCGTTTTGTAGCCCGGCTTAAAGAGATTTCGATGGTCGTTGAGTTGTCGCAAAAACAAGCAGGCAGAGCAGGCGAATCATAGTGGAGGAGAGCCGGATGGCGGATAGTGAGAATGAACCAGCAACGGCGGAGCGAAATTGAGCACAAGGGAGACTGGGGCATGTCTTGGAAAAGGTCTTGGCCAGGGTATGAAGCTGCGAAGAGAAGGCCTTCACTCTACGTGTCGGTCCTGTCGGCTAGTGATTGCCGCCTTTGGACAGCTCGCGGAATAACATTCGTTCTCCCACAGAGAAAGTCCCAACGCAATGCCAATACCGACTATCCTAAGCCCCTCTAAGCTGTCACGGAAGAATAGCACTGATGTGTTCGCCAAGTGATAGGAGAGCAACGTTGAGAGAAGGGCGACAGGCCAAGATGCTGGACGTAAATGGTGCCCCGCGTACGGTCCTGACCGACAACGCCGTGTCTATGACGAAATAGCCAGGAGCACCAGCCCAATTAATTGTAGCAGCCCGTCCCCTAAGCCTCAGCATGGCTGAGTGATTCGGTGATGCCATAACGGAAGGCTGACGGCTCTCGAGAGACAGCTCATCCGTTTCAATTCTGGGGCTGAGAAAGCGCGAGATAAGGAATATATAGATGCCGGGAGCAAACTGTTTTGTTGCCGGCTTCGCAATCCGCTTTCCATGCCTCCACCAAGCCTTCAACTTGAATCGCCTTAATTCGAGCAGTACTTTGGGGATGTGATATGTATGAAGAGGCTTCCTGGGTAGACAAACAGCAAGATTAACCTAGACCAGACCCACCGGCCGGGCCTCTTCCCAATGCGGGTCATCCCGACCGTCGACTCGCCTCCATCGCCTTGCAACTACCTACATCGTGATCAACCAATGATCCTCTTGGATGAAGTAGAAAAATGCCAGTAATAGACACAAAGAAATCCGATGCATGATCACAGGTCACAGTAAGCAAGCTATGAAGAGGTGTCCTTTAAACTTGCCAAAGCTGGTCTTAGTCTGAAGCCATTGCAAACGCGCTGAATACTATTCTGAAGATGTTTCGCCATGGAGAACGAATGATACCCACACGCACAACCAACCCAGTGCAACAAGCGTCCCGTATGTGTGTGCTCAACTAGGTGAACGCAAGGAAATCAGTGGATCTTGCCCCCCACTCCCCTAAATCCAACATTGCGCTGCTCCATTACGCCGGTACCGCCCTCTTGCTAACAGTTACGACCTGTGAATAAGCCAACCGGACTCATCGGAGGCCGATGACACTCATCTCCAGGGTCCAAACGCGTCTAATCCAGACCTTAAGTTTGCCCTGAACACCTTCGACGTTTTCAAGCTCGACGCCTTCCCACCAACAACGCCTCGCGGGCTTGCGCCAAAAAAGTAGTAGCTTCTGCGCCATGCCTACAGCGTTGTTGCCCATCTCGTTGCCCCGAATATCGCTACGTAGACGTGCCAAGGCCAAACTACAAACTACCGCCTTGTTCGGCTCGCCTGCCCGGTGACCCCAATTGTCGTCATGATTAAACCCACTACTGTCAAGTAAGCCTCTAGTCTGGCGTGCATTCATCCATAAGTGATAAAACCTACCCGGCTGTCAACATCTCAATGAGGTGGGCTTCCGTAGTTCCTGGCTCATCGCTTCGTTTCAGGCCTGAAAATATGCCGCTCTGTTGGAGAAGTGCCTTGCCCGCAGCTCTTTTAACTTCCATCATCTCGGGTTGTGTAATGTCAGCTTGTGGGGGAATGACGTAAAAGTCGAGGTCCTCTCGCAGAACGATAATACCCGCTCTCTTTGACGAGTCGTCCCTCGAGCCCATGGAATCGCCATTTGCAGCCTCCTCATCCTGTGGAGGGCTTGGAGATGCGTCGGTAGGTATCGACTGCGCGACAGTGCGGAAAAAGTCAAGCATGTACTGCAGCGATGCGGGATCATACTATTCAGGCATGTCAGCGTGATCAGGAGCCGTGTGCAATGTGAAATCACAAGAGGATTGTTGTACGTACGTCGACCTGGACAGCATCGCCATCAGGGAATCCACCCATATGACCCTCAGGGAAGAGCCCGTTCGGAAAGAGAGACAGGAGCACGAATTCAGGCAACGTCAAGAGCTCGTCCCTCGACAACACGAACCTTGTGCCCCTGCAAGAATCGGCATTAGCGTATGGATTTATTGGTAGAAATAGCAAGCCCTACCGAAGGTCCATGGCAATCGTCTCATCGGCGCCGACATCTATGCTCAAGTCAATACACCGGTACGCATCAGTACGGGAGAGCAGAGAGGACTCACCTCCAATGGCATTGATGGGCGGGCCACCTTGCTGTACTTGAGTAATAATACTCGACGCGCCTCCGGCGGTAGCCATTAGGAACGTGAAGGACTGAAGTGGACTGGGACCCTCAGAATATGCGGGTGGTGGTTCAACGTCGTCGTCCTTCCCGGAAGAGCTACCTTTGGTATCTTGGGGGAGCGCACGCTTGGTTTCGGCGAGCGCCTGATGGAAGAAAGTTGGGGTTGAGATGGATGATGATTGATTCACAAAGAGACCGGAGGCTAGAGGTGCATACGCTGGCGCGGCGACCGATAAGGCAGAGGCAGTAATGTTCGGAACACTTGAGTGACAGTTATCTTCAGAATCGCAGGAGTTCTCTAGAGAGGCGATTATGGAAGAGAAAGGCGGTGGCCGCGAAGCTGAGGCCTCGGAGGTGGGGTACTGAGGCGGCGGCGATCGGGCCCGAGGGTTGGATCCTGGTGTTGCCTCGTTGTGTTGTTGGTCTTCTTTGTCTTCAAGCTGGAGAGTTTGCCCCCTCTGGAGAGTGACTGTAAGCCGGGAGGACACGGGCTGCCCGTTCCTGGCGTCTGGCGAACTTGGCAACGTGGTGGCGGTTTCGAGAGTGTATTAAAGGTCAGATCGTGGGCTGATGTGGCAGAGTGGCAGTTGGATCGGTCAAGACGCAGTCGCAATCGCTCTCATCTGGTCGTGGTTCGTGCGTATTTATGGCGACGCCAGAGTGAAGTGCCAAATCCTTATTCGATCTGGCGATAAATGGGTCGTCGTACGGGGAAAAGTGGTGGTGGTACCGGGAAATAGTGTGGTTGGCGAGGAGCGAGAACGAAGAGAAGCGCGTAAAGTCCCAGTCGGGTATGGGAAGACAAGTCGGTTTGCAGGGAGGGACTGAGACTGTTATTCTTCTTCTCTTTCGGTATTTCTTCCCTCTTCCGACCTAGATTGAACAATGAGTGTTCCTGAATGGGATAATGGAAATGGGGGAAGGAAATTGGGAGTGAGGTCTGTCGGGGATAGTTTAATGAGGTTAAACAAGCATGGCATTATGGCGCTTACCTACCTACCTAATACATGTATGTACTGGGGGATGCCCCACAAATACGGATATGTCAAGCCGCATTCGTCCGTTTCCTAAGCACCCTGCTTTGCAAAGTGGATGGCTCCTTATCACTTGCGGCCTGGCTAACGTTTCGCTCCTTGAAGTACCTTGACTCCATGACCCCATATAGGTTACCCAGACCACATCACCATAGTGCACCGCCGAAGCTTCCTAGACTCATTCTTGCTTGGTAGCCTTCGTTTTCCCAGGCTCCTCCTTCCAGTTTGGACCTCAGGAACTTTGACTTCCTGCTGAGGAGATCTAAGCTGGCCGTGTTCTTCTCTGCAACATTGCATTGTCAGGCGTCTTAGAGGCTCGTGCGGCGCCAGAAGTACTTGCAACGTGCCTAAACCAAAGAGACGTAGAAACCACATTCTGCCAACCAATGGGCAACGCTGTTCACCAGGTTTGCTGGCTCTCCTAGCCGCCCATGGCACATATGTGTTTCAATGCTAATAATGTACTATGCGTTGACTACGTTCACACACTTGTATTACGACTTCTGGCTTCCAGAGCCGCCTTGTTTCCTTGCGCAGTAGGTCCTAAGCTGTATTGAGTTGAACGAAGATGGGATACGCGGCAGGTTGCAGTCTTGGAACCTCGACACATTCGACAAAGGCGCCCATGTTCATGGAATCACCGTCAGTTTCTTAACCCTCAAGTTTACATGAAGATGTAGAGCGCAATCAACCGGCTAATCTGATATGACGTATCATCTTCCGAACCAGGTGTGCTGTCATAGAATACCAACTAGAGGAATGTCGCGGTAAACAGCATCTTAGCCAACACTAAGCGTAGCTGCATGTCATGGACAAATATCGTGTCCAAGGTCAACGGGTGGGCACGGCATCACCGGTATTGTTGCCACAGCAAATTTGTTCGACACCTACTTTATTCATCCTCGTCACTGCTATCGCCAAAGATGGCCTTGAAGACCTCGTCGCCGGGCCGTGAGGCCTCAACAATGATCTCGCATCCGGCTTTGGATACTTCGTCCGTTGACTTTGACAGAACCTTTGCTACGTCGGGGCCCGACAAATCGCCCGTTGAGTGCGTCTCCACCCGGGAAGAAGACGACGGCTTCGTTGCATCTAACCTGGCAGGGAGTGCATTGTGGAGACCGCGGATCTCCGAAGAGGCGCCCGGATTCGAATCCAGCAGAGCATGGGCAGGCGGCCGCACGTTGAAGCGTTTGCACAGCAACCTTGTCGGAAAGAACTCTTCAGTCAATCTCGTCATACGCCCGTACATCCCCATCTTGGCTGCCTCTTCGGCTGGATCCGCTGGCTTAGAAATCTGCTGTACGTTCGAGTCCGAACTGGATCCCGAACCCGCGGGTACCGTGCTCTCTGTTGAGGCAGTTGTGAATCGGGTAGCCATAAATCCCGTCATGGGCTTGAACAGCTGCGCGCACTCATAAAACTCCTCGATCTCCTTGACATAGTCATCATTCGTCACGCCTGGGGGCTTTACAAGAGAGGTGCCACCGAAACCGGCCGCTCTTTGTAGGTAGAGTCGGTAACGAGCGCGTTTAGCCTCATCGTTTGCATAAGGTCCGCCTGCGCCTGCACCCCGACTCATTGCTGCAATGGCCGTCTCTTTGGCCAAGCTGGGTATGCTCTGCAACCTGTCTTGCAGCCTTTGCCCAGGCGGCTTGGCATGTTCTGGCAGAGGTTCGCCTTTGGCTGGTGGAAGGTTCTGTCTGCCAGAGGCCGCAGCCAGTCGCTCGCGAGCAGCGGCTGACATGTAGTCAAAAATAGACTTTCCAGGGAGGGTAGATTCGCCTAGAGCAGCTGCTCGAGTTCTGGGATCATGCTGAGCCGCTCTTGCAGCGTCTGCCGCCGACGTGTACACCGTTCTTTTATTGGTGTCTATACGCCGCTTCACTGAAACCCATCCAGGGGGGATATCTGGAGGAGGGTAGGAGGACAGTGACTGCCTGAACAGTTGAGGTTCCGAGATGTGGCCGGCGACAAAGCCATTCAATGGTGGTTTTCCATCTAGACAATTTGTCTGGACATGATCCCCAACTACGCCGGATTTAGAGATGAAAATTGGCTTGACCCGTAGCGTTGGGTTTGCTGACACAGTCTTAGTCGCTGGCTGCTTCTTCTTCTTCTTCGCTTTGTCACCGCCCAGGACTCGATTATATGATATATGAGGACCCATTTCGTACGGATCGTCCTCGTCAGAGCCGGTGTCGTTTAATACTCCAACACCAAAGCCCCCGTTTTGTGCTTGCCCCCGTTTCTTGCCAGGTATGCCCAGTGAAGGCTGAGGACCGCTGGCGGAGCTGTATTCCTCCTCGTCAAAATCAACCCCCCCCGAGCCGATCCGGTGTATTCGATTTGTACCGGATCCAGAGCTCTGTGAGAGTCGAGCCTCCTCTTGGTAGCCCAAACCTCGCCGGTCGGCCTTGCGAGAAAAAGTAATCATGTCGACGTCTCCTGGGGCAAACAGATGGGTTTCTTCAGACGCGGTAGACTGGCTGCTGGCAGAAACATCCAGCCGTGCTTTTCGGCGTACTTTTGGCCCAATACCTTGTCCATCCTTCCAGCCCATTTTTCGCAGAAGCTTGAGACCCATAGTATCACCCTGGGTTCTTATCAGCCCGGCCAGCCCGCCGGGATGGCATCTGCCTTGGCCAGAAGCCCCAAGGGCAGCAAATGGATCAGTGGTCCGGATCTGTTGAGCGGCAGCGGCGTCGGCAAGATCTTCCTCGTCCATATAGTCTTCCGGTCGGTGATGGGCTGTATCCAAGTTGGTCATCCGTCGGTTAGTGCGGCTCGAAACGAAGGTAGACGGAGTCCAGCCTTCCTTTGATCCGACAGTGTTGAAGTAGCTAGACACCAGAGTTAGTCAATTCAAAGGTGCAGTATACTATTATACCGCGGCTGAAAGACTTGTGGCGGGGTCAAGAAACTTACCCAGCACTCCATCCTCCAGTGAAAGCACCGTGAAGGCGTCGCCGTCCACGATCATCCCTCACTTCCTGCTTGTACAGAGGGATGTAGGAGCCATCGTCACGTACGTCTGGGTCCAAGGGGGGCAAAGGAGTGCCAAAAGCAACATGCACGGCGGCTTCATTATACAGATCGGCCTCAAACGTCGTATGCGGCCGCTTGCGACGCGACATGGGACTGACGGTGACGACGAGTGCAACCTGCTGCGACTGGTAGTGGTTAGGGAAGGATAGCATTAGCGGGTTGGAATTTGGCGCCCGTTTGGTAGTCTAAGACGTCGGGTTGGTTGCGGTACCTTTCAAGTAAGAAATGCTTAAGCAACGTCCCGCTGGTGGGTCTCGATGTTGAGGCAAGATCTCGGCCACGGACGTGGAAGTGATGCGATGGACCGATGGACCTCCACGTTAATTATTCTGCCCTTATCTTATCGGACACCGTGCTGATGCAGCAATAGGTAGACGGAGCAAAGCCGTACATACTTGTAGCCTGCCTGCAGTCGGTTCAGGGCCGAGCCATGACGGGGCTAGCCGCTCTGTTGGGTGTCGGCCTTCGTTGTGGATCGAGTGCCCATCATCCACCGCGCAGGGGACACTACCTATGTGCGAATACCTACTGCCAACTACTACCTACCTACAGATATACGTTCCTTGGTAGGTAGATGTATATATTTTGGGATCCGATCGCACACGATGATTCGAGAGGAGGGCTAGGGTGAGGGACATAACTTGGTGTCCGCAGCTGATTAGAGTGCTAAACTGTAGGTAGATCTAGGTACCTTACTCGCGACACTTCGCGGTCCTTCGCGGTCCTTCGCGGTCCTTCGTGGTACTTCGCGGTACTTCGCGGTCCCCATCCTTTTCCTTCAAGATCCTGAAGGTGATTTGGCATAGCGAAGTTGGCAATTTCCCATGGGAGCCCAACTCCACGCGGTAGTCCCGTTTTGCCACACAAGGCGCGGAAATACCGCCACGCCCGCTCTACCTAACACGACAACAGTCCATGGTGCCTTGACAAGGGACCGAAGTACTTGTGTCCCTAAGTATCTGTACCTATCCAGAGAGGCTAGACCAGCCAGTCTTCAGTCTGTGTTGTCATTGCTCAGTCCAACACAACTCGGTCAGGTAGAAAGCCAGGTGGGCGATAGGTCGTGTACACACCCCTTGCTAAACGCGTACCTAAACGCAGTGCCTATCTAGGTAGGTACCTTAGTAGGTACTCGTCTTCACCCAAGATGATTGAACAAAGGGAACTGGAGAACTCTACCACCAAGACTGTATCGCTTGAGTATATTCGGAGAATTGCTTCGTGGTGCAAACGAGCTGACCTCCAAAGACACAACGTTAGATATAAAGGGGAATCGGTGGTTTGATGTCTCTCAAGTCGTTGATCGAATTACCGACCTACTTAGGCACACCCTAAGGTACTTTACCTAGGTAGGCACGCAATGTAACTACTGACAGAGTCTCCGTAGGGAACCACTTCAAGTAAGTGGTGTGCGGGGGGTGGAACCTGGTTTCGTCGTCACGCCTGCTGTGTGCAGTGCTGCGCTGTGCCTTGATTTTGCTTCATGCTTGTGCTTCGGTCCTTTTCCATCCTGTCGAGATGCAGGAACTTTTGAGGCAAAGTACCTAGCTTTGGCCAAGTGTCTATCGGCTTAGTAGATAAGCTATCGGTAGGTTCGAAGACATTCTGACGGAGCCGGTTTACTTCTGGCTCAGTAGAGTATCTTGATTGTTCGTAATTGCTTGCCACCCCTCCCAATTCCCTCCCCTTATTATTACATCTACTAGTGTGTGTTTGGTCGGGGTACGTAGTGATTATCTGCTCTTCTGCCGGCCCCCGCTCGCCCCAGGCAATTAATCTCGAGAGGGGCATACATAGAATGGCATCGAGTACGTGTGTACGAATACTTGGACAAGACCATTGCGGATTACCGATAATGGGCGCACGCATGTACACATACTCTCTCTAACAACAAACAAGGCCCGCCCCGTCGAACAAAGACAAAAAGACAACTTTTGAACCTGATATACCAAATTGTCTTTGCCCGAGACATACCTAAACAACAGGCACATTGTCTCTGCCTTGACCGCACGTACCTTGGACGTAGCGCTCGCCCTTCCTCCCTTTCTCGCTCGCCCGCTTCTTCCCTGTTCTCTCTGCCTTGTGCTTCTCCTCTCGGTTCTACCAACCCCAGTCCCGTCCCATCTCCAGCACGTCCTGACCGGTCTGTCCCCCGTCTCCGTCCCTCGCCAGAGCCAGAGCCAAAGCCAGACAGAGCCTGTGCCAGCCGCCAGCACACCCGCGAGCCGTCGCAGTGTCGCATCCCTCTCCTCCTCCTGTTACTCTTCTGTCCCGTGCTGCAATGACAACAGCAATCCCGGCGAGCTCTGATTCCTCCCCGGCGCATGCTCCTCCCCATCCGCCTCCATCTCATCCTCACTCTCAGCCAACCGCTGTAGCGCGCTCCCTCTCTACCCGAAACCGGCCTCCTGTCTCCGCCTCTGGGCCTCCTCCAAAACGTACCTCCTCCACAAACCATCACCATCACCACCACAGCCGAAGTCAACAACTCCAGCAACGCTCCCACTCCCGACAATCCTCCTCTACAACTACTGCCGCCGCCGCCGCCGCCGCCCCTCCTCCCCTCGTTCAAGATCTGCTCCCGCAACATGATTACGAAACTGCAAAAGTAGTCTCCTACTCCAAGCGCACCGCCCCAAGAGACCAACCACCCTCATCATCCCGCGCCGACGCCTCGCGTCCTCAGCGTCACAGCAGCACCACATCCAATCACAATTCTCACCATCGCATCTCCGACATGCCTGCAAACACCGCCGTCGCCAACAACGCTGGGCCAGCTCCCGTGAGCAGCCATATCGCACCCGACCCAAGAAGCCCCGGCGCGACTTCCGCCTCGAAGCATACCAGCAGATCCCGTACCACTATCCCTACCCCATCTGGAAAATGGATTCTGGGCAAGACGATCGGTGCTGGGAGTATGGGCAAAGTGAAACTGGCCCGCAAGGAGGACACAGGCGAGCAGGTTCGTTCCCTCCCTACGCTTTACTTCCACTGTCCTCCCATTCGTTCCTGACCCTTGCCCCTTTTGACTCTAGGTTGCCTGCAAAATCATTCCCCGTGGTTCCACAGAGGATGGGCACCAAACCAAAGCAGACAAGGAGAGGGCCGACCAATCCAAGGAGATCAGAACCGCCCGAGAAGCTGCCATCGTTACTCTCCTTAGCCACCCCAACATCTGCGGCATGCGAGACGTCGTGCGTACGAACTATCATTGGTATATGCTCTGCGAATACGTCAATGGCGGACAGATGCTCGACTACATAATCTCGCACGGCAAGTTGAAGGAGAAGCAAGCCCGTAAATTCAGTCGGCAGATCGCCAGCGCTCTCGATTACTGTCACCGCAACAGCATTGTCCACCGAGATCTCAAGATTGAAAATATCCTCATCAGCAAAAATGGAGACATCAAGATCATCGACTTTGGCCTGAGTAATCTTTTCGCCCCGCGCGGTCACCTGAAAACCTTTTGCGGTAGTCTTTACTTTGCTGCCCCTGAGCTTCTCCAGGCTAGGGCCTATACGGGTCCCGAAGTTGACGTGTGGAGCTTCGGCATTGTCCTCTACGTTCTAGTCTGCGGGAAAGTTCCTTTCGATGATCAGAGTATGCCCGCCCTGCACGCCAAGATCAAGAAGGGCCTGGTTGATTACCCCAGTTGGCTTTCAAGCGGTAAGACTACGACTTTGTGGTTCATTGCTGGACTGCACGCTAACATGCTGCAGAATGCAAGCACCTACTCTCTCGAATGCTTGTGACCGATCCCAAACAACGTGCCACAATGCAGGAAGTCATGAGTCATCCATGGATGATCAAAGGATACAGTGGACCACCCGACAACGGCCTGCCGCCGCGAGAGCCGCTTACTCTTCCACTAGACGCTGACGTAGTTAACGCCATGACTGGGTTTAACTTTGGCTCCCCAGACGCCATTAGAGCTCAGTTGACGAGAACGATTGAATCCGAGGAATATCAGCGTGCAGTCAAGCTATATCAGCGTGAAAAGGAGCTTCCCCAGCCGGCCAGAGACGTCGAAAAGAAGCGTGGCTTTGGCTTTGATTTTTACAAAAGGAGGAACTCGGGTAACAGCCGTGATACGCTGACGGCGCCAAGTTCCGAGGCTTTGCAACTTGGCAATGATCCTCTCAACGCTTTCAGTCCCTTGGTTTCGATTTACTACCTGGTACGAGAGAAACAGGACCGTGATCACCTCGAGAAGAACCCGGGTGTTCCGAATGCTCCTAAGGAGAAGCCCGCAGTTCCCGAGATCACACCGCCACAAGAGGCTCATACAAATTCATCGGCCTACGAGATGCCTGGCGAGAGGGCCACTGGGGGACGCTCTCGTCCTCGCGCCAGAACTCACGGGGAAGACGAGGCCCCCGATGCAGTCAAGAACTCACAGCTATCACCGACAACACCTCTTTCACCGGAGGTACCTCCTGAACCACTTCCTAAGAAGGAGAGCACGGCAGCTGGAATCCTTAGACGATTCAGCACCCGAAGACGCAGAGATCCGGAGAGGTTAGACAGGGACCGATCTCATCCCCCGGTTGTTCAAGTTCACTCTCCGTCAGAGGCTTCCGCTCCATTGCCCCGCAAGAGCTTCAGTATCCGGCGGGGCAGACGGGAACGTGAAGAGCCCGACCCTCTCCCACTGCGCTCTGGTAGTAGCCAGCCACAGCACGGTGACCTTCTCAGTCCACCCTTATCCGCTGGGGGTCAGTCACCGCGCCGCAAGGGTTTGGGCCGATCTACTAGCGTCAATTCCGCAGACTTGCGTCGCCGTGGATCAACTCGGGCTCTGAACGAACCGCCACCAACAAGTGGGTCAGACCAGTCAACATCCATGGACAGACCACAGCCTGCGCAGAGAGAAAGTCAGCAGACACGAGCGGCCTCCATGCGAGCCAAGTCGCTTGGCCACGCTAGGCGCGAGAGCATTCAACAGCGGAGACTTCGCCGGGAGGAGGCAAGAGAAGCAAATGTCCCTGAGGAGACGGATCAGGAGCATGAGCAAGGCGACCAGAGCGGTGTCTCGACCGACAGGCTTGATAGTTCCGACCTAGCTAAGCCTGTCTTTCTCAAGGGACTGTTCAGTGTTTCGACAACGTCGACCAAGAATGTGACGGAAATTAGGGCGGATATCAAACGGGTGCTCAAGGGTCTTGGAGTTGATTACACCGAGATCAAGGGCGGCTTCTTGTGCAAGCATACACCTAGTATCGACCTCAAGAAAGTACAGGATCCGCCCGGTAGCCCTGGACAAGCGCCACCGGGGCACAGGAGACGCTTCAGCTTCGGGGCTATCCGAGGTGGCGACCGAGAGAGAGAAGACTTGCGCGAGACGGAGCGAGGCCCTATCACGCCGCGTGGCACCGGTAGGAACGGGGCCGACCAGAGTTGCTCCAACTCCGACGTCTCAGTCGACAGTGTCTCGCGGGAGGCGGGAGGCTCATCTCGAAGAGTTCCGGGTGAGACGAGCACACACGTCCAAAGTGACCTCGGCGGAAGTATGGTTCTGGAATTCGAAATATTCATCGTCAAGGTTCCGCTGCTCTCCCTCCACGGGATTCAATTCAAACGGTTGGTGGGAAACACATGGCAGTACAAGAACATGGCCGATCAGGTTCTGAGGGAGCTTCGCCTGTAGACGGACAGACGCATGAACAGACAATGCATACTACTGGCCATGGACTAGCCGGAGCCAGGTAGCAGACTTCAGCGGCCTAGGGCAAAACGTGGATTTGACGGCGCACATTCTTATCATATGGCCATTTCTAGCCTTTGATTTATTTCCTTTTGTCTCGACGGCCTTGCTAGCGCCGAGTTGATTGGCAGCCCGATTATCACGGTCAACAGCTTGGGGAAGGATGACATTGTTTGAATAGGCGTCATGCAGGCAAACCACGGCAATGCTGTTACAGGCACTAATTCAGTTTTTGGTTACGGAGAGTCAGCATTTCTGGATAAAGCTGTTTGTGAGAGCCGAGTCGTGATGTCTGTTGCGAGGCCCCCAAAAGGCATATGCTTATCATGCTGCCGCGGAAGTATATGGGCTCGGGTGGGCGCATAGCTGAACAACTTTCCATCAAACCGCACAGAATGACAAGCATTTGAATTCGCGACCCATCTGCGAAGCCGCCCCCAACGGCGGCTCTATAGGCCCGGGCTAGGTACAGATATTGCATGCCTGAGGTAAGCTGTGGCCATGCTGCCTGTGGGGAACGTCCCTGAGTCGGCCCAGTGTGGGTGGCCCGCCCTCCAACCACAGGAAGGCCGGATGCCTTCTTCTATTAGGTAATCCGCTGTTAGCTCACACGCTGTCACCTTGCGGTCGCCTCGTCTGGCCTTGCGTACCTTCCTTGCTTGCCTTTGCCTTGTCTGGCTCAATCTTCAACCTTCCCTGGTTTATTGTGTGCTTCACATAACCTCGAGTTCGAATACGCACTTGCCTCCTCACCCACGCGCTCAGGTCTTCCGAAAAGCTCGAATACGCGCAACCGCAATACGCACCGTTGCGCCTTCGTCCGCAATCTCCTAATACCTTGCGACCCAGCTTGCGCGCGCAGACACCCGAAGCCTGCACGCACCCCGCGAAATTGACCCCGACAGACCGCCGCCCACCGCACATCGACATCTCCGTCCTCACAACCGCGACCTACCATCGTCAGAACCGTCGACCGCTACGCCACAAGTTGAGAAAGATTGGAGAATAATCAAAGAAAGACTATTTGGTTGTCAACAAATCCTGAGCCTTTCACCTCCCGGCACCACTTTGGACTTCTTCCATCTTAACATCTTCCGCCAAACGCACTGACCTGGGTCTTCAAGATGATGCCCGCACAGCACGTTTACGGACACCACCAATTCAATCCACAAGCCGACTCGGCATGGATGCATCAGCAGTCAACCCAACATCACCATGCCCAGCAAGCTGCTGCTGCTGCCGCTTCTGCCGTCCAGCAGCAACAGCAACAGCAGCAGCAACAGCAGCAGCAGCAGCAGCACTATAACCGACTCGCTGGAGGTCACTCTGCCGTTCCTTCCCTTGGCAACACGCACGCCCCGGATGGAGGTCACGACAATATTTCGGAGGATAACCGAAGAACCATGGCCTACATAGCTGATCTCTTGAACGAGAGCACTCGTGAGGCTGCTCTTTTGGAGCTCAGTAAGAAGAGAGAGCAAGTTCCTGAGCTAGCTTTGATTCTGTGGCATTCATTCGGTAAGCTTGCATACTCGAAGTAGAATGTACGAATAAATCATCTAACGCTGAGTTTAGGAGTCATGACCTCGTTGCTGCAGGAAATTATCTCGGTTTACACCCTCCTGAACCCGTCCCAACTCACGGCTGCGGCATCCAACAGGGTGTGCAATGCCCTAGCTCTTCTCCAGTGCGTCGCATCTCATAACGATACGCGCACGCTTTTCTTGAACGGTATGACGTTCCACGCCAACTCTCTGGGACTCTCATCTGGTCATGAGCTCACACACATCTAGCTCATATCCCACTCTTTCTCTATCCTTTCCTTAACACGACGTCGAAATCGAGGCCATTTGAATACTTGCGCCTGACGTCGTTGGGCGTCATCGGCGCCCTTGTCAAGAACGACTCGTCCGAGGTTATCAACTTCCTCCTGACCACAGAAATCATCCCTCTATGTCTTCGTATTATGGAAACGGGCTCCGAGTTGAGCAAGACTGTGGCTATCTTCATTGTACAGAAGATTCTCCTGGATGACAACGGGCTGAACTACATCTGCGCCACCTACGAACGCTTTTATGCCGTGGGCACTGTCCTAAGTAACATGGTCGCTCAGCTTGTTGAACAGCAGACTGCACGTTTGCTTAAGCATGTCGTCAGGTGCTTTCTCCGGTACGTTTCACTCATTTTCTTGCATGGCAGTTGTGGTCCATGGCTGACTGGCAGGCATCGAACAGGCTAAGCGACAATGCTCGTGCACGCGAAGCCCTCCGCCAATGTCTCCCAGAGCCTCTTCGAGATGCGACCTTTTCTTCTGTGCTTCGGGATGACGCGGCAACCAAGAGATGTCTAGCGCAACTTCTCATCAATCTTTCAGACAATGTCGTCGAACCCACCCAAGGGGGGCACCCAGGCCTGTGAGGCCAGACTTACTTGACATACTGTAACGTTTTCGGGCCAACATAGACTCATGCATAACACGGCGACTCGGAGGTCAGTGATTTCATTGGAAAACGCAAAAGCGTCGTGGCCTTATTGATACCCGCTTCCTTTGTTCCGGCTTGGGGCATATCTGGTTGATCTGGAACGCATCTTCGACTCGCGGTTTTCATTCATTCTTTCTTTGTCTGTAGCATCGGAAGGGACGGAACAAAAAGCAAGGGGGTTTTTTTTTTTCCTTTTCTTTTCTTCACCGTTCAGGGCTGGCGATGGGGGTACGTCATTTCGTCATTTGATTATATGGTAAGGAGCAGTCGGACTGGAAATGGCGCCGGAGACGGGGGGTGAATGAATGTCACGGGCTCTTTGGGCACGATGCAAGACTATGTGGTGTTGGTATCGCCTTATGTTCGGCGGTGAAAATGGCAGTACTGGCTTCTTTTGGGTGGCTCAAGTATGCGAGCTGTCTTTTCTGGCAGCGGGTTGAAGGGAGTACGGGATTCTGGTGCTGTTGATATAACTCAACTTTCCCATGTACATCAACCCTCAATTCCAATATCCAATTTGATTCAACTAGACCAACCACCACCCGCTGTGTCCCTTTCCATTCAGTTGCTCTCCCTATTCGCACGATCTTATATTCATCACTTTGCACGTTGGTGTATCTCTGCGTTGGGCAGCACAGTCCCTTATTATAATGAGGTCTGGTGTCTGTCTGCGTGCTGTTTTTCTGCAAACCGACCGCAGAAGAGAGTGCCTCTACATGGTAATACATGCAGTGTAGTGTTATCGGCAAGGGCTGATCTCAGTGCGTGATTCATCGTTGGTTATGTTGCTAGCATGTTCCATGACCTGCTTAGCCAATGAGACAACAAACTATGCACCCTTGCCAAGTACATGTACGATCTTCAGGACAAAAACTACATTTGCGATCAAATCCTGGTGAGCTCGTATTGGTATTGATAAGCGCACATTGGCCGAGCATGCTGGTTGGAACTCGTAAACTGTCGCTTCGCCTTTGTCTTGGTCTACCTGAACACAGCAGGATCCCGCACACAGGCGGATTCAACCATACGTAGAGTGTTGGTCATACTAACTTGTCCAAAGAGGAACGGCTTCTGATCAAAAGTGTCATATGCTGGAGACTGTGATATAACAGTGTTGCACACCTAGCCGGTCGTTTGACAAGTAACGATCTCGACCAGCAAACAGTCATCAAGCTCTCTCACACACCAAGGTTAGGGTGACTGATTCCAATCTGCATTGGTACAGTACTGAAACCCGAAGGCGACCGTTGCAAACATGGTTGAATGCGCACTAACATTATCTCAACTGCCTAAGACAAGCAAACAAACCTGCACTCAGGAGAAACAGATATTAGCCTTCTGGTGGACTTGCTACTTCTTGATTGTTGCCGCTAGTATTATTCGTGGCAGATGGTGTTGACTTCCAAGCCGTTGCGATATAGGTAGCTTATAGAGACTATTGTACAATGAGATTTGCAGGAATGCTAGTAGCAACCGCCGGGGGCTTGTATGTAAAGAGTACCATGTGACATCGATCGCCGCACTCCCTTTCATGCCCTAGAATATGTGGTTTCCGGCTTCGACATTTAAGCCCAGCGCTCCCTCATAGCTCTTTTCTGGTCTAAACCAGTAGCAAAACATCATCTTTCCGAGTGTATCATGCTGTTTGGGAAACTGCTCCAGACTAGCTCGCACCATCGGAATTACAAAGAGAATCCACTCTTGGGGACTTTTATTACCAGGTAGAAACCTTGCACTTTATATGAAGCTGCACGAGCTTACATTCATCTCTGACGATCGCAGTCAAATTGAGATTTGTCAACATCATAGTTGAGATTGCTATTGAACTCTATCGTCTTTCGGCAACACGTATATGATACCGAAAGTGAAATATATAAACACACTCAAGTGATAACTGATTAAGACACGTCATACGCTAGACATTGAGTGATGAGATGATAGCTTCTGGTCCACATTAGGACTCATGTTATGGGGGATGAAACCAATAAGACAGCATTTGACGCTGACAAGAACAACGACTGGAGTATCCATGACCCATGGCATCAGGCCAAAGCCACCGAGCCGGCTCCATCGTCGCAAAAGTCAAGGCGAAAGAAAACAGCGGCCAAAATTCCAAGCCAGCATCGGGCTCTAAATTGGGAAGGAACAGAGCCTTTTCTCTTGGAGAATATGTGGAGGGTTGCGGCAGCGTGACGGGCAAAGCTTACCCGGGTGAGTATCGCAACGAGCATGTTGGTAGCTAGCATGTACAGGTTGATAAGAGCATGGGTGAAATTTTGGTATTCGGGAACCAGAGCTTGCCCCTTAGCAGCAATCAGTACGGCGGGCTGCTGTTAAAAGCTTACCAATCCAGCACTAAAATACACTTCCATTGGAAAATGGGCAGTTTGTATCCATCCCAATGGGTAGTTGACAAATATAAATCCGACCTTGCTTTATGGCCTCACACATGGGTTTCGATGAACTCGTCAGTAAGCATCTCAGGTCGGGTGCGCGGCAATGGGCGGCAAGCTCTGATGCATGATTTGGGAGGGTTGAGGGCGGCAAAGACGATGGTAGTTGATAAGATCTACCACCGCTACTCATGTTTCTAAAGATAGACATACAAAACCCTATCGGACAAGGCATGGCAGCATTAGACTGTCGTCTATCGTAGTTTGTGTCACGTTTTCATGGCGCGGCACCCCTTGGTCCAAAGATGAGAAACAAGAGACCGCTGGACGTCTTGCCAGCCCTACGTTCTCGTAGTTTCCTCGCAAGAGCCGCGACGGAAACTCAATGCCGTGCTGTTCAGATGAAAACAAGGTTTCAAAAAGTCAAAGAAAAAAAAGAAGAGAGGGAAAATACAATAAGAAAGCGCCTTACTGCCATGCGGGTTGACCTTTAAGCGTCTGCCTGATTTGGAGGTGGCAGGGCATGGCGCCCGTCGGGCTGTAAACTGGCAAACGCGACGCAATGCACGACGATAGTATATGCCTAGCTCAGCAAAGGTGCAGAGAGTTTGGATTGGCTGAGTTGAACGGAACAGACGGACGGATGGGTGGCTTGATAGATTGGTGGTCGGGGGATGGATCGGATGTGTTGATAGTCGAAATTTGGTCCGAAGGACGTCGGATGCAACGGGATTTGAGAAAAGGACAGCCGCTAGGCCACAAATAGACACCGTTTGAATGGTTACACAAAATGCGGCTTAGGGCCAGCCCAGAGACTGAGACTTCCAGCCTGTCTCTGGAGGCGCAGGTGCAGGTGCAGGTGCTGGTGCAGGCTCAGCTCCTCGTGCGTAGCGGTACGTACCTATCGATGCGTACAACTGCACCCCCCGGTCGTCCGCCTTTTCCTCACCAAAGCACAGGTGGCAACACCCAGAACTGGCGGTGGCCTTACGGCGTCGAGTGGACAAGACGGATACACGTTGGTTAAGTCGTACGCAGACAGGCCCGGGCATGACGAGTTTGACCTGCAAACATACCCAAGGTTTCCTCCCCCCCCTCTCCCCGTTTACAAACACACACACACACACACACACTCGCATAGAGTACTTGTCGCACTTAGAACTTGCTCCAAGATGTACACAAATCACTCGCATACCGTATCCTCTCATCAAACACGAAGTCCGCACAGGCCACAGGCTGCTGGAAAGGGGTAAGCGGGCTGGCAGAAACAGGGATCTAGATGTGGCAAATGCAGGAATTCATTTACGTCAGCAGCAGGTAGGTGGCAAGGGTTAGGGTTATATGGGTGGGTGTGTGTGTAGGTAGGTTGACCGCCTGTTATAATGGGACTAGCGTATGGCCTGTGCGGACTTCGTGTTTGATGAGAGGATACGGTATGTCCGCCGAGGGGCGGACGCGCCATCAAGCCCAATCAGTCGTATTGGGAGGAGGAGCGGGTGTCTAAATGCCCGTCTCGGCGTACATTTTCCCTATCTCGTTGTACTACCGACGTCTCAAGCCCACAAACGAGTTTGATAGACGACGGCGTCCGTCATAGACCAACGGTCGCATTCGTGCGTACCGATGCAGACGCGAAGAAAGATCCAGATGCAAACTCATAATGATGAGAACTTGGAATTCATTCGCATTTGTCGTCGTACAGAGGGCACCCTATCCTTTCGGCTGTACTACTTGCGCGACCACCCTGCGCAGCCCGCACTAGCGGCAGACATCCTGCGATCGGGGGCCATGAACAGCAAGCGAAGAGCGATTGCCCTACACGCCAGTAGACTACTCCCTTGCAAGACACTGATCACATACGCAGTACCTTCACGAGTGTAAAACTGGTAGGCTTTCTGGACCGGCTTGATTAGCTTCCCTGTCGTTTCGGCGTGACTCCTACGGCCCGACCATACCTTCAGACGCATGCAGGGTGCATGCAGGGCATGTTCGATTGGACAATCATACGCGCAGGTGAAGACACCAAGGCAATGCCCCCCCTGTGTCTAGCCAGTCCAAGTCGAGACTCCCGTCGAGCTACTAGCCAAGAGGAGGCTGCCCCAGCAGGCACTCGCTACAGAGACGTTGCCTTGGGATTGGCCATCAACCGAACCAGTCGCGGCCCATGTGTCGTATACGTATACTAGAAGGAAACAAAAGTCCCGCCGTGCCGGCCATCGTTGCTTCATAGCAGGCCAGGCTGAGAGGTAGGCATTCTGGTATTAGGGTGAGCCCCTGACGACTGCCAACCATCGACAGATGCCAAGGGCCACGGCCAGAGCCACGTCCAGTGGCCATGCCCACTGTTGCGTGTCATCTCGTAGCCCTCGCACTTGGTGGCCGCCACACCGACCGTCACTGGCTTGAATGGCTTGTCACCTCTCGGACACGCAAGTACCTAGGTAGCCCAGCCATGCTACCCGAGACGTCGCCATGTCGAAGTGGAGCCCGACGTTACAATCAATTGTCTGCATCGGTGTTTGTGTTGATAACCCCAAATCCCGAACCTGCGGGTGGGATCCGATGTCGAGTGGCTTCGGGTACGGTAGCAGGCCGCGTAGGTAGTGTACACTGTCTACCTGGACATGGTCAAGACAGACGCACACATACACACACCCTGCAGTGGCCCCGGCTATGGTCGGGATTGAGATGAGCGGATGCTCTTAGAGGGAGATTTGATGCGCACACACTGGGCATGGCAAGGCATGAGGGTTTTGCCTAGTCTGGGCGAGATAATGTGACGATGTTCTCTAAAGGCCGTTGACAGCACAATGACTGACGGTTAATGTGCATCAGAGATCGGAAGATGCAAACACATGGACAATGGAAGGGCAACTTCGAGATGGGACGGTAGCATCATGTCTCGGCCAGTGGCTGACAGGGCAATGTAAGAAGACCGAGCAAACGGCGGAAAGTTCGGGGTGTCTCGCCCGAGCGTTCGGTTGTTGCAGCCTGTCCTACAGGACTTGGTACATGCATGGACAGGCCCGCTACCTACCTGGGTAGGTGGGAACACTAGCCAAAGGTCCGCGCATAGGCGAGGTCACGTCCTGCTACGGGCAGGCCAAGTTGGGGTCACACAGGAAACACACACACCCCCCCCCCCCCCTTGTGTTTTCTAAGTGCTGACACAAAATGCCCAATCAGCAGCTGCCTATGTCGCTCCTTCAGCCCTACAGCCCCCTGCTCCTTTGCGGTGTCGCCGACGCTTGGCGTGTGCACCAATGCTCCTTCAACCCCGCCATGGTCCTCCGCCTCTTGCTCCCATATCAGTCCTTTTCTCGCCTGCTTCGTCCTCATCAGTCAGTCCCTCAAGCCCTGTGTAACACGTCTCCTCCGCCTTTTCCCCTCACAACTCGCGCGACGGATAGACGTGCCTGACCCCTCTCCACCGAAAGGTCGCCTGCGCGCGCCTACGACATGCGTGTGCAACGAGCTCCCATGCCTATTGGCTTACATAACACACCCCCACCTTCTTCTCCTCTTACATGCCTACTCGCACTCCCCTTGCCCAAATCGGCAAATGCAACAATGTGCTATAGGCATGTCTTTTTCATCTTTCGAATTCCTCCCAAAACTGGCCAAGCCGGGAGCCTCATGCTGCTGCACGAGGAACAGGACTCTGCTCTGCATACCGCACGTCATGGTCAGTATGAGCAGTCTAGTTGATTTCAAATGTACTCGACTGACACCGGCTCTCTGTCTGCGGTACTATCTACCGTCTGCTTCTCCAAGCTCGAGTTACCTGCCTTAGTTAGCCACACCGCCAGAGCACTGAACGCCCTCCACCCTCTTCTTCCTCTGGATGAGTGCGCCTTTTGCAATCAATGCCTTGCTAGGTATGCTTCACACAGGGCCAGAGATGACCGTTTGTTCCGTTACATACCCTTATGCATGCGCTGCCTTCAAGCCTTGGTGATGGTTGTGACCAGAAGACGGCGAACCCAACATTTTATCCCTTGACAGCCAAGGTAGCTGATTACTTGGTTGACTTTCCGTCCCCCGCCGACAGGATGCCTACCCACCCAGCTAGCTCCAAGCGCCGAGATAGTTTAGGTCGGGTTATATATTTCGCTCACACTCTGTCCCAGCCACCCTCAGCCATACGCATGCGGCATCATCCAGAGCACACGTTGCATCCGTAACCGTGCCCCTCCCGTGCGCACTGCAAACGACCTTACCGTAGGTACCTCGCGGTACGGGTGGAAGGGCGACGGCGGGTGTGGGGGAGAGCTGCGTTGCCATAAGGTGCCACACAGCCCTACGAGCCTCCGCCCCTTTTCAAATAAACGTCTTACTGGCGCATATAAACCCATCATCTTGCTGTGCGGCGTGGATGATGCAGATAGTCGCCGAACAGCCGACCCCATCATATTGCACGTAGACAATGCTACGGCCGCTCCTGCACCGAGCCCTCCGCCTCCGTAGAGAGATGACGAGGATGAAAAGGGTACGCTTCCCAGCCTCAGGCCACGTCGTGCTGCAGATGTTGTACCCACCACTGCTGTGAGTTTGTTGTTCGATACAGTCACTGCAAACGATACATTTGTCCATGTGCCGGGCACTTCTTCTTCGGGCCGATGCCGCGTTTAGATAAGAGGGGAGGGGGCAAAGGAAGTTGAGCACAATTCGTAAAGACACCCCCCCTTCCTGTTGCTCCCGGTCAAGATGCTGATGAGCGTCAGCTCAATACTCCGGCAGCCTGGGTTTGGGACCGGGACCTCCACAAAAAGAAAAGAAAAAACGGCGCGCCGGTCAACTTTGGGGGCCAAGATGTTTGGCGTGGAGTGCAAGGGGCGCAGCTGCTGGATACACCAAACCAGGAACGGGGGAGGAATGGATGGAGGGAGAAAGCGGGTCGTCGTTGATGATTCTGTACCGCACAAAAACATGGCCGGATGAAGGCAATCATCCACCATCCACTGGCTACTCACCGGCGCAGACAGAGCCGTCATTGTCAACTCGTCCAGAAATAGACCAGGAAACAAATATCCATCGGAACGATGTGCGAGCGGAACCTATTGGTTGGCCGTCTTTAGGCAGCAGCATTCGGGGGTTCTCGGTGTCTTCGTCCGGCGGAGTTTACCAAGCAGCAGCGCCATTTTCCGCAACACCGTTCATTTTGACACCCCGGTCTGCAAAGGAATTCCATCTGTGTAGGTAATTAATTAGTGTACGGACATTCGCACATACCTGTAGTAGATCAAACCCGGGGAATGGGTCAGGTCGTACGAGCAGCCAGCGACAGAGGGGAAGCAGGCGGGGCACACTCACAGCAAATGCGAGCTGGCCAGTCGCAGCCCTTGGTGACAAGTTTAAGTGGTGACGGGTCCCAAGATTTCAAGAGGAAACGGACGGAGAAGCGCTTGCCACCTGGTGCACCGTGTCCGTGCTGCCTCCCGACCAACGGCTTCCCGACGAGCATCTTGGTGGTGAGGGAAGACGGGGAAATGGATTAGTACCGAAAGCCACACCCGCGAAGTTCTGCACCTTTCGGGCGAAGCATTTAGAAATCCGGGCTTGGTAGCCAGTCTGAACTGATGATTGTGTGGGCTTCGTCAGAACTCAAAAGACGTCGCTGGATCGGATCCCAACAAGAGCAGTCCTAGGTCACTAGTCCCGTGAAACATGATTGGTAACCAAGAAATAGACAACATACTCATGCTGACGAGAAGGGGCCAACGCAGCCCCCATTCCAGCCATGGTCACGCAGAAGATCAATAGTTGATGCAAAAGCCTCAAGCCCATTGGCCAGTTGCCGCCCCCCTGCCAGACGCCCGAGGATTCAAAGTCGCGGGCTGGGGCCTAAGCCACTGATGAATTTATCCCTTTGCTTGCTTGCCCTTGCTTGGACGAAGCCAATTTCGGCAGCGCGTAGGGCTATCCAGTAGGAGGGCCGGCACTGTAATCGTCCGCTGGTGTCCAAGTGTGCTGATCCCGCAACGCCAACGCAAGTCTCGATACGTGGTCGAGTCACAGCACCCTATCCGTAATCCCATAGTTGCTAGGGCTTTGCAAACATGAGCACAAGTAGTGCACCTACACTATCACTAAGAGTTAACCGACAGAGACGACATGGCGGGCACCATCGAAAAGGAAGTCTACCTCGACAGGTTTAGCACCATGCCTCGTTGTGTCTCATCATACGTTTGCCCATCACTAGAATTGACTGTCGCGTAGTAGACCGGCGAGGAGGATTGATTGATGTGGTACATGAGGCAGACATACGCTGCATCTCTGCTTGGTGATTGAGGCGAGATATGTATTCGTACTGAACGCTTGAAGAGGGAAAAGGGGCGTAACTGTCGGGAATAGTATCGACGGCACATGCAGCCCTGTTGGGGCTGACGACCTGCGGGCGATGGTTGGCTGAGAGTCCGAGTCCCACCTCTGGTTCAATGTTGAATGGGCCCAGGCTACAGTGAAGATCCAGGCATTTGGCGCGCGGGGGGGTTTCAGCCGGTCGGCTTTTGCGGGCGTTGATGGCCAAAATTCACGGGTGGGCGAGTGGATTGCGATTCAACTCTGGTAAGAAAATCGCATCAGTGCTCCTGTAGACATTAGTATTCCGTGTGCGGATGAGCAAGGTAAGGTAGTATCTGCGCATCCACGGGTCACGTACAGAGTATCTGTAATTACCTACCTAGTGAGAAAGCGGGCATGGGAAAGAAGAGGGTGTGTGTGACGGCAGATGGACGAATCGTGTGGCTGCCACTGTCTTGCTAATTAACCAGGCAAAAATAGACGTCTTACAAAGCACGTGGAAGCTTCGTCATTGGGGGCCGAGAGAGCGCCACCCCAAAGTGAAGGGAAGGAGGGTAGAAGAAGTGCAGGCAGGATGCACTACGGTAGTGCACATCGAAGTCGACAAGAAGCCGTCTTTTCAGAAGGGCCAGTAAGGTTAGGTAGGCAAGGCAAGGCAAGGCAAGGCATAACATGCTCCTCGGTCCCTCTTTGGCCTTTTCGCACTGGTCTCCACTCCAAGGGATCTGACGGATGATTTTACACTACGGTGCGGAGTTCAGGTTCAGGGGCTTGGGGACGACGCGAAGCGTCATGACGAGCATCTCATCGTATTGCGGTCCACCGCCGACATCAAGACAGGCGGCTAGGCCTCTGTGGAGATGCGCGCGGGCGGGCCTTGCCTACGGTACCATCATGCTCAGCGGCCGCAATGTTACCCGCTCATCTCCATCTCGGCCAAAGTGGTTGCAACGAAGGGGCCTGCCTGATCATGGTCTGTATCCGTAGGGCACCATGTCCTCCTCTTCACTACCTGGGTAGTCACTTTGGTCGTAATGCTACTAGCAAGTTTACGTGGTATTGCCGCCCTTATTGCCGAGACACACGCCCCTTGTGTCGTCGCAATTGCGTGTAACACGGAGTTCGGATGCCCTGAGTATGGCTTCGGCTCACAACACACGCTTTGAGTCATTCCAGGACATGACCTAAACTACCTGAGTGACAACCAGAAGAGCATCATCACACAAGATGCAACAGTCAGGATCAACTTGGCCGATATGTTTGGCGATGCGAACTCCTAGCTGGGAACCAAGTGACCATAATGTAGGATGGCTTGGTCTGGTCACCATGACAGACAGCCCTTGGGCTTCGGACATGGCAGGGGCCAAAACAGGCTGATGGACGCGACGCTGTGGCTTGGTACTTGTTGGAATAGCTTCTTTCCACCTTTGGGTTAAGGAGTGGTGGCCTGCCATGATTCCTCTTTACCTCTTTTGCATGCCGGCTCTGTAGGGGACCTCATAATCACCTACTGGGGGAGTAGCGAAACCCGCCGATGCGAGCGTGCAGTTGGAAGATGGGCCGCCATTTGGCCAGCCTCGATCACGGAGGCTCCCCACTTCTCTCCAGGCAATCATATTTTCTCGGTCCTGGTTGGCGGGTGAGTGTGTTCAGTATCGCCGAGCCAAACCACCTGTACTAGGTATACATACCGGTACTGTTACCTCCGTAGGTAGCCAAGTTTAGGGGTAGCGTAGCGTGGAATCAAGGATGAGCGAAATGATCCTGGATCCGACAAGAGGGGTGAGCTCCGCGCCAGGACCACAGACACTCCACATTCTCCGTGCGACAAGCTCCAGTGGGGCCTACGGACTCTTGCTGCACGAACCGTGGTGCCGCCGCTTGACGTTCAGTGCACTGTCCCAAGACGAAAAAGCTTGGCCCCCCAGAGCGACATATCCATTTCAAGCCGCGGGATTGGTCAAGGTTACGAATTCCCTCTTCCGGAATGGTTCCGCCAAGCCTCGATCCGGGGTACCACCAAGTCCCGTACACTCTGCCGGCTGGCCACGGATGTCCTTCCCTGTCCCCTCCTGTCCTTGACCCTTACTACGTACGCAGTGTAGAAATGACTGCCATGTCTGACTTCTCAAGGCTCAATCCAAGTACGGAGACAACTATGGGCATGGGTGAAATTCAGTTAATTAGTTGTACGCAGATGGAAAGCCTGACAGAATCCATGCAAACGCGTGCTTGGGATTGGTCTTTTCGCGGCTGGATGCCTGCCTGGCTCTATGTTGCATCGAATTCTCTTGGTGCGCTGGTGCATTTCTAATCACAGTTTGTCATCATCGTCGTCCGATCTCCTGACGGCATGTTCCCCGTCTTTCCACGGACCTGGTCAGGTAATGATCAATAGCTGGGTTCCCAGCTAGCCAAGCCCTTCAGGGACAGGTTGTATGGACGTGAATAGCATGGGCAGATGGGATCTGCGCTCGCGCCTCCGCGCCCTCTGATACCTGCGATGCCGGGCGTGGGGCCACGCCCTGCGCGCGCGTTGTCTGTACGAGCATAGCCGAACTGGTATCATTGCGGTTATACAGGTGCCATAGTATTTCCAAGGGGGCGGGCCGTCTGAAGTTGGGATGAAGAAGTTCCCTACGGGGTCGGATTCTAACGGTGGACAGGCGTGGTGCATCATGGTGGCTCATCATGACACTTGCTGGGCATGAAGGGTCGTGTTAGCGACCGTGCCAGCCCTGCAAGACATACCTCGAGATACTGACATTGTGCCCTTGGGGGAAGGGGACGCTTTCCTTATCGTGTCCAGGGCCCTATGATGCCATTACCATTGTTGGTTTCACTCCCCGGGTAAATAGCACTGTAGCAGAGATACGTGTACAATCTTCGGAATCCCTGGTGGCAAGTTCCAATGACCAAAGCATGTTGTATCAGCTACGGGCAGTATCTCGGGAGGGACGTTAAAGCGGGGTTGAAGACGGCCATCATGCGCCCTGATAAGGAAACGTACGGTATCTTAGCGCGCTGTGTGAGGAACTTTGGGAAAGCTAGGCCCATCCTGCGGGCTGAGCTAGGTAGCTCGGGGAAGCAGTGCTTCCAGAACTGTAAACTGGAGACCCTCAGATGTTTGCTAGAGGGACAAGTTCATGGAGGCGGGGGGAAGGATCGGCTGTTCCACAGACCAGACAACAAGGCAAAGCTTCGGATCTGGCATTCCAAAGGATGTGAGTTGACGTGGATGGGCCTCTCTCGTTCTGCCGTTCATCCTTCGAGGCGCTGCGATAGTGCAAATCGAGGTAGTGCGGAACGGATCCTTTGACTTCGCTGGCAGATGCCCTTCGGGCCTTTGTGACCAGGAGAGCGCGGATGACGGAGGATGAAGGAAAGGGGGGGGTGTGAGGGAAAAGGCACCAAAGACGAAGCAGCACTCGACTCTCTGTGGGCAGCCCTATGACAAAACGGCGGCCGCTGAGCTCTAGAGCAGTCTGTGTTATACGGGCCTTGCGTCAGGGAACGAACGGTAAGCCGCTTCCGTTGAAAATCAATTGGGTACCATCCTCATGTCCGCCCACACTTTATTCGCGTTCTCTCTTGTGTAACATGAGAACCGACAGGGGTCACGATCCTTGGCACTACGCAGAGTATCTGTCTGGCTGCTCCTCCACGGCCGTCTGTACTTGGTCGACGCGGAAACTTTTCTCGTGCATATCGGATATATCAAGAAACTTACAAATCAACACGAGACAGCCGAAATGACCCTTGACCACAACCATACCGAACGATTCGATATGGCTGTCACGATTCGATGCTGACCGATATAATAGCTGATCGAAATTCGGGCCGCAACCTTTCAAGTGCACGCCCTGCCGGGCAAGTCGAGACTGATTTCAGTACCAGAACAAGGTTGGGCATTCCTAAATACCAAGGATGACACACATGACAGACAAGGCGAGGCGAGCGTGTGTTGACAGAAAGCGGATACAAGTGGGCAAAATTAGTCCAAAGCAGCAACTGCATTCCTAAACATCTACGGAGTACGGATACCTGTGTGGCACACATGACAGACAAGGCGAGGCGAGTGTGTATTGACAAAGAGCGGATGCAAGTGGGCAAAATTAACCCAAATCAGCAACTGCAGGTGCAATGGAATCATTCGTTGTGCCGCTCGGTGCCCTGTACCCCTTTCACGGTTTTATCCTATCGTCCCACTTTCCCCTGGAGTTCAGCAATGACGATGTCGATTATATATGGGAGACTGGAGAAGGTATCTTGCTGTTGTAGCTGTTGTTGTTGTTGTTGTTGTTGTCGTCGTCGATGATAATGATGATGATGTTACCGTTTGGCCCACCGCGCCAAACCCATTTGCGTTTCTCGTACAAGCTGTCCAGTCATTGGATTCGTATAGCGGCGCTGTACACTGTCAGCATTCAAACAGTAGCAGCAGCCGCCGCCGCTGTTTGAACCCCGAGCAACAGACCGCGGCCGCAGGAGCCGCCCCTGGCCCCCTGCTCATAAGGTACCGACCTACATACCGTATCCACTGAGTAAACCCGCCTTTAGCTACTGCACGAGCTAACGGCAAGGGGTATCGCGGCCGCCAAATAAGGGCTGGCGTGCTGGCAGAAACAGGGATCTAGAAAGACAAAAGCAGGGGCTGGTCATTTACGTAAGCAGGAAGTCAAAGCGTAAGAACAGTAAATAAAGGGCAAGTGGGCAAGTGGGCAAGTGGGCAAGTGGGTGGATGTGTTGACCGCTTTCTATAATAGGCTTAACGCCATACGCGGCTACTATACCCCTTGCCGTTAGCTCGTGCAGTAGCTAAAGGCGGGTTTACTCAGTGGATACGGTACTGTCTTCTTATCCTGTCCTGCCTAGCCCAGACCAGCCCACAATATAATAATTAGGTAGTACGGAGCATCGTAACCATTTCCTCGATTGGCAAGAATACGTACCTGACCAAGGGTTCGGGTACGTACTCCACCGCTGCCATCCCGGGTGGTGCGAGCTCAGACTACAAGTACGTACCTCCACCGTACCTTCGCGTGGACAACCGACGGACGACCTTGCCCTACAACAGCATCCCTCCCCTCCCCATCACCTTTCTTCAAGATTCACTCCTGCCCCTCTACACGACATAGTGGGTAGGTGTAGGTAGGTAGGTAGGTAGCTTACATAGGTACAGAGCAGATATCTACCTAGTTAGGGTGCACACAATTGTTCATCCCGAGTCCGCCTCAAATTTGCATTGCATTAAATATCCATCCGTACATGTCTTGAAACCCAGCGACCTGACCTGGCCGTCGTCTGTTATGGTCCCCTCCGTCAATCTCTTACTGTGGCCGCTCTAGTCCAGTTCACTTAGCCTTAGGGCGCCGCCCATCATTCCGCTAGTCTGCTCCGATCAATTCCTTGGACCCGCCTGCCCGCCCAAGAGTCACTTGAACGAGGCGCCGCTCCTCCTGGATCGTTCCGTTTCCGAAAGTTACATCCCATACCCCCGCTGCCTCCCTCTCTGCCTTCTCTGTTTTCCCCGCCTCCTGCCTGCCTGCCTCTTGTGTCTGCGGCCGGATGCCGCTCCCTCTGCCCTACCACTCATCTCACACCTCCACACACTCCCATGCTCACACTCCCCTCCTTCTCCCATGTCTTCCTCTGGTCCTCCTTCGGACCCCAGCCAATATCTTGGAAATACAGCACACCTTTCTTAACAGTCGCTCACTCGTTGACTCTCGTACTCCTTTCACAGCCACGCCCCCCTCCCTCTCACCAGTACCCTGCACCAGGCACGGGTACCCTTCGTCTGCCTGCTCTGTGGAACCTCCAATGGTTGACGCCCTGCGAGGACAAGCACCCCTACCTGTGGACCTCTCGCACCCACGCCGCCGGCCATGTCATTGCTCTCGACTTGCTGGTCGTTCAGCTTGAGCTCTAGAGAAAGAGAGAGAGAGAGAGAGACAGAGAGAGAGAGAGAGTGTGTGTGTGTATGTGAGCCTTGGGTGACTTTTTATTTAATAGCTTCCTCTCCCCTTCTTTCACCTCCCCTCACCCCGAACAGTTTGACCTCCCACAGAACAGACTCTTCTTAAGTTACAACTTGTGTCAATCCACAAAGCTCAGCCAACACCAACCAGCTTCTCCCAATGTCAATGTTCACCATGTCTCAACATCAGTACGCCTACCCGGCCACTGCTCCCGCACCCAGAGCATACTCGGGCCATGGTACCAGCAGTGCCTTTAGCAGCTCTGCCAACCCCGACGAAGACTGGACCAAGATCTCTGACCTTGCTGAGCGCCGGAGGATCCAGAACCGCATTGCCCAGCGCAACTACCGTATGTCACAGTCAACCCACGGAACACAACTGCGCTCTGCCCAGACACCCAGTACTGACATGCTCGTGTAGGTAAGAAACTCAAGAGACGCTTGGAAGACCTCGAGAGGCGTGCCGGCCAGGAAGGTACATCCGCCGCAGAGAAACCTGCTCAGACCAAGACCAAGAAGTCCGCGAACAAGACACAAAAACCGCCAGCCTCGACAAAGACCATGAACCAGGGCCAGTTCACCCCTCCTATGCAAGACGACGAAGTTTTCTTTGCCCAACACTACGAGGATGGCCGTGAGAGATCCAACACGCCCCCGTTCCTTGCATACTCTGCCTACCCCCCGCCCGAGGAGATGATTATGGCTCCCACATACACTACACTACCGTACCCCATGACCACTGCTGAGGCGTACCCTGGATACCTCGCGCCCGCAGTGCCGGTGACGTTGCCACCCATGAACCACTTCAACGACGCTATAAAGCGCGAATCGTACCCGAGCGACGACGGTTTTCCCCCATACATGAACTACGGCTATATGCCTGGCATCGACATGCATGCGCCCGGCTCCTACGACACCGCGAACCCTCATGTGAGTTATATGCGACAACCACCTTCCCGCGATCCATGATGCTGATGGATTGTTGAGCAGACCCCTCCGCTCTCGCACTCTTTCGACCACTCAGCCAACTGCTCCGACGCTGGTTACGAGTATCCCACTACACCACTATCGATGCCAGGATCTCCTGGTATGGCCCAGCAATAGAGACGGACGTTGACAGGACCATGCGACAATGTTTTTGGGCGAAGCGTGGCATTCTTGTGGCTACTATTCTGGACTCGTTGCTTTTCTTATTACTTTCTTTCTCATTCTCCTATATATACGGGGTGGCTTGGGCCAGGAGTTTGGGAGCATCTGGATTGCATGAAATGGTCGAAGCGCTCGACCTTATGGAGCTATGATCTGGGAACAGGCGATGGAGTTTCAACTTGGGTGAACTGTTCCACTGAGTGCAGCTCTGTTACAAGGCTGAACACGGCAGGCGAAAATTCAAAAGGCGAGATTGTTATATTACACGTGTCTTATGCTCCATACCAAGGTCAAGAGAACTCTATCTTGGTCAAACAAATGTTTCTGGCTGCCAATCTCCCAGTGCTCATACGAAATCATCATGGCCTGTTATGTCAAAATCTTCGACCCCCTTAAAAGAATAAAGAAGAAGGAGGAGGAGAAGTGCTGTGGCCGTAAGGATGATTCACAGCGAAGGGCGCGGAAGGCAAGTAACATTCGTTGACACGATGGCGGACATGCGCAGGTATGCCAGAATGGGGGGTTAAAGGCGATTCTAGCCGAGTCCGACGCGGGAGAGAGTCTTAAAGCCGGTCGAGATCCGGGCGTAGCATTGCATATGGGATACAGTCAGTGGTCAAACCTGCGGGTGCTGACAAAACATGGTAAGGAACAGCCCTGGGACAAGGTTAACCATGAGTAGCGTGTGTGAAAGGACCCGGAGCTGCTAAATCACCAGACGGAACCCAAGGTGTGGCGCAGTGCATGGATTTACTCGCTCAAAAACCATATGATGCGACTTGACGGCAGCTAGGGTGGCCGCAATAACAGTTCCGACGCTAGAGGTAAACGACGACATTCGGGTAGCACCCACGGACGAGTCTACCGATCCGCCACAGGTGAGTACGAGGCAGGGTTCAAGGTAGGAGAATGAGATGGAGGGATGGTGCGGGATCATGTGGTAGAGGAACAACGACCCGGCTGCGGCATGACAAACACCCACCGATGGTGGATGGTGTGGTCTTTTACATGGAACGAGCCATTGAGAAGATTTGGGAGATACGACTCATTGCTTCTGCGCGCAAGAACAGCCACCGACGGGACTCTGCGTTACGAAAACGCTGTCTGGATGACACAGCAGCCTATTACGCAGTTGTCATGCTATGCTGGGCGTTTTCAGTCGGACGCCGAGGCAGGAGAAACCTTTGGGCCCTCGTAGCAGGCAGGAGCTGGTGAGCGAGATTTGCGAATGTGGAATCTGTGTTGAGATATTATCTCTGGGTCTCCCATATGGAACCAGAAAAAAAGGAGGGAGGGGGCGTTTCTAAGAAACATCCACGGGCACTGTCAAGCCCGGCGTCCTCGTCTCGGCTGCATCTTCTCGATGTGAGCGGCGACATGCGAGAAAACACGAGATGGTTCACGACAAGGCAGACCGTAACGAGATCGGCTCAGTTGGGGTGGTGGGTAAACGCGGGCGTCGAGAAGACCTCTCGGTTTTACGCCTAGCCTTTGCGGCTTGCATCTGCAGGGCATTGCATGGCCTAGGAACAACAATGCCTCATGGATCGTTCAAGGACGGACAATAGCGGAAATACATGCGCGTATTGAACCGTTCACTTGTTTGGGGTCCTTGGGAACCTTGGCCCATGACGTGGTCACGATAACCCTCCCGCCTGAAGAAGCGTAGGGAGTATGATAAGTTGAATGAAGTGTTGCAGAGTTGCCGACAACTGCGTCATCGCGTGACTACCATTGAATTGGGAGTCGCTGGCGACACAGCGTTTCCCATGGACGCAGATGGACATACGCTTAGTTAGGACATTGGGGAGGCAAACCGGTCTAAGCTAAGGTTTTCGGGACGTCACGGCAGGAGATTGGGGTTCTGGATAGGGACTGTAGGACAGATGGGATTGTCCATCTCGAGGAAAGCAAAGGCCTGAGACCGAGGGTGAGGACGCGAGCAACGTACCCCTACCTAGGTACCCAAGGCATCTAGTTACAGGTAGGGATCTACCTAGGTAGGTGGTGTGAAAAAGGGTATAGGGGCGTGTGCGTATCCCCCCTCTTCTCCGGAGTTAAGTCCAGGGCTGCGGATCCTAGCGGGAAAGTAAACTTGATACTCGGAGCTAGGATTTACTGACAATTCGTCCGAGCTGTCGTAAATAGAAGTCGCCTTCGAAATTGGAAAGGGCGAAGCTCAGTATGGTTATTACTTGTTGACCAAATCCTTTCTCCATCCTTCCGAATCCTTGTGCGAGCGATGCCGAGACACGAGGCTACGAGTTCCCCGCAATGCTACGACTCAAGAAGCCGAAATAATGCACACGCCCTCAGTTCTCCATTGCATGTGCTCTTACTATTTTCGACTGGTGGCTGTTATATCCGTAGCCCATCCGAGTTATGGAGAGAGTGTATAAACATGTCGCCGTTAGTCGCTTCATGTGCCGCAGGAAGCGGAATTTGGCGCGGAATTGGGCGTGTAGTCAGAAAGTTAGGCCAAGTAGAGCAAGGCAATGAATTCAATGTTCTCGTCGCCTAAACCAGTACAATATCCACATTCGACGACACTAGCGAATAGTCTAAGTAGCACCGTGCCTTCGCACACTTCGGTCAAAGGGCTGAAGTGATCTACAAACGTATGACAGAAGCCCCCGTCTCAATGGCTCATCAGCACGGTCCAGATCATTTCACGCACTCAATGCCATGTCCGTCTGGATGTATACAAAACGGTTGCATCTCACTTCGTCTGGATACCATCTTCTCCGTTGTCATCCTGTCCGATTCCAACTCTCGAGTTCTCAGTCGAAGGCTGATACAAGGTCATGATGCTCTTTGTGCGTCGAAACAAAACAATCCCAATTTAGCAAGCAATCTCTCAGGGAGACATATAGACTTTTATATGTCACTATGAGAATCCGTAGACACACATGACAGGATCAAACCTCGGCAACGAATGGAAGATCTGGTGCGGGCAACCATGTCAAAGAAAGATTACCCACAAAAAGATCTCAGTTTTACCCTGTCCGCGTCGTTCCGAATTGAGTCCAACTGAGCCAGAGCCGGATTGCACTGTACCACAGCAGTGTACCGCTCCCCCCCCCCCTCCCCCCCCCCCCACAAAAAAAAAAAACTAAAAAAAAAACTACTAGCAATTGAACGCCATCATCGCGTTAATTCTAGCCTTGTGCCCAGCCCATCCCGTTCTTAAAGCCCTCCGAGTCTATCGGTGTGCTCGAGGCCAAAAGAGTAACTCAAGAGTGCTTCGGAAGCTTTAATCAGCCGAAGTCTGGGAGATCGTCTTAGCCATCAAAAGGTGACTGACTATGTGAATGTTTATACCAGACCGAATAGAAGCAAAACCAGCAGCCTGCCGGTGTTCATCACCGACCGGATATGCTTGAGATCCACATGGTATCAGAGATTCACATCAACGGAATTAATTGTATTCCACTTATGTTTAGATGCTTCATAGGTGCAGGCAGTGACACAGTCTCCTCCACAGCCTCCTCCACAGCCCGACGACCACAGCCACTCCCCAGAAACGGTACATACCGCATCTTGGACATCAGGCACAATCATGATTGGCTGCTGCGCCCCGTCCAAGGACAGGTCCCACTCAACCTCAATGTGTCGCACTCAATTACAACTACTTACAAAATAAAAACAAAAACCGCCTGAGATAGCATCCGAGGCATTCAGCCAACTTCATCCAACAAGAAAACCGCCGGTCATGGCTCCCGACTGGCAGTTGCTCTACCTCTACGGAGGCGACAAGTAGGTGTGCATAGAGAAGATACACAGACGTCTCATCGAATCTATCCCCCGTCTTCCGTCTTCCGGCGTAGTCTCTTCTCCCCAATGTGAACATGCGCTGTTGACACTAGTCCTTAGCCCCTGGGATTCGAGTCTTTGGACCGATTCCGATGATCGAGTACGCGGCGGCAAGAGCCAATCTCACTTGCACTGCGAGTCACCGGAAAAGGCCAAATTTTTTGGGAGCCTGGATATCTCAGCCCTGGGAGGGGCTGGTTTCGCATCTCAAAGAACAATTGGCACGCTCCATCTGGATCTGAGCCAATACGACGGGCTTGCCATCAACATCTTGCAAAGTGACTCCAAGAAGTACACTCTCACCATCAAAGACGAAATCTTGCCGCCAAGAGAGGATGGCCGTGACCAAAGCACGATCAGCTGGGAGTATGATTTCATACCCGAGGCTGGAGAGGTTAAGATCTCATGGGATGACCTGAAGCCTACCTACAGAGGCAGGCCCAAAACCGACGCCAAGCCCCTAGATGTGTCCAATATCAAGAGGATCAGCTTCATGATGCGAAGGTAAGAAGCACATCCCTCTGATATCATCTACGACATTTTTTGATGCGATATTGCAGCTTCTTTGGCACCCAAGAGGGTGACTTCAGCTTAACAATTGCGCACCTAGCCGCCTTCAGCAATCGGCCCACATCATCCGGCTCCGACGGGTCATTTGAGAAAGATGGTGCTGCTGTACATGTACCGGACGAAGCTACCCCGCCATCCTGGTGGGGTTGGGTTTGCGGATGGGCTAGATGACTCGAATAAACAACGCGGCCCAGGAAGTCGAACAGGATGTCCATCCATGCGAGGAAGACAGGGGGTAAAACATAGTCACAGTTTGCGGTGGAATGTCCAAGAGAACCAACAAGTCTTTCTAATTCCAGCGTAGGCCATTGGTTCTACACACAGGGCTAATTGAGAACTTCATACAATCTGGCCCAACACTTTGATCAAGTCGCTTGTCACACCCATGGCCGTGACGTCGCCACCAGCGCCGGCACCCTGAATGATGAGAGGATTGCTGCCGTAGCGCTCCGTATAGAAGCTGATGATGTTGTCGCTGCCCTTGAGAGCAGCGATGGGATGAGATGCATCGAACTGCTCCAGACCAACCTTGACCTGTTTGCTGGCGACTTCAATGCTGCCAACAAAGCGGACCACCTTGCCTTGCTTCTCAGCAGCCTTCTTGGTCTCCTCCATCTGCATGTCAAACTCTGGCAGTTTCTGCAGGAACTCACCCCCGCTCGTGCAGGACTCGAGCTCCTTCGGGATCAAGCTCTGAACGGGGAAGGATGAGGGCGACTCAATAGGTAGTCCTGCTAGTCTCGCGAGAATAGTCAGCTTACGAGCGACATCAAGACCATTGAGATCATCTCTCGGGTCAGGCTCTGTGTAGCCCAGCTCCTTGGCTTTGGCCACTTCTGCAGACCATTTGCCGCCCGAGCCCGACGTCGGAGCAAATGAGTTGAAGAGGAAAGACATTGTGCCGCTAAAGACACCCTCGATCTTGGTCACATGGTCGCCCGTGTCGACGAGGTCCTTGAGAGTTGAGATGACGGGCAGACCTGCGCCAACGGAAGACTCATGGTAAACCTTAGCGCCGGATTTTTCAGCAGCGGCGAAGATGTCCTTCCACAGATGGTAGGAGCCGGAGAATGCCTTCTTGTTGGGGGTCACGACGCTGATGCCACGGCCGAGGAAATCGGGGTAGGCGTCGGCAACGTCTTGGGAGCTCGTGTTGTCAACAAGGACGACCTTGGCGGGGGCGGCGGCAAGGTAGTCGGCGAGCTGTGGCAGAGCAGGAGGGGCTTGCGAGACGGTGGCAAGCTTCTCGATCGCGCCGGCGATGGGGATTGGGGAGTAGCTGGCGTCGTACAGGGCCTTCTTGCTAGTCGAGATGTAGATCAGGTTTAGCTTCGGAGAGGGTCGTCGACTGGCCAATGCATCAAGCTGGGAGAGGAAGCTCTTTCCAACCCCGCCAGCGCCTGTTAGCCCACCAAGGAAGTCGTCAGCATAGATACATTCAGTCTTCCGTATGCAAGTAGAACGGCAAGCAGGAGAGATTCGGGAGGGGTCTCAGTTGAGGTTCCTACCAATGATGGCGATAAAGATTTGCTTGGACGATGCCATGATCAATTGCTGTTCGTTTTCCCCGTTTGATGCAATATGGCTGTACCTATTAAGAAAGGCAGGCAGTGGGAAATAAAACACACACACTCATTCGAAATCAATCCCTCGGACCGCGGGGCAGCTTGTGGTGGAGCAACCCCCGCCCAGACCTCGATTTTATCGGTGTAATGTACAAGCCTTCTCACACTCACCGATCACCGAGGACCTTTACCGAAAGCCGGATCCGGCGTGTCGGCATTCTGCACCTACAAAGCCGAAGAAGCTTGGGCCCTCCCCTCCAGGTCTTGTCGTCATCCACACTGTGAGGCTAAGCTTGACCAAGTGTCATTCCTCATACAAAAACTGTAGGGCTGATCCTGCACCAGCTTGCGTCTTACCTGCAGCTCATCAAAGTGCTTTTCTCTTGATTAACGTCTTGGGAGAATCATCGGGGTAGCGTTATTCGATTCCACGTCACTTACCACCATGTCGCTTCTACAGTCCCTACTTCACCTCACCAACTTTAAGAACCCCTTGCTACGGACTCTTGTTCCCGCCATCTCTGCGGCTTATGCCATTCAGGCAGTATTTGCTGTGCCGTCGATACTCGCCCAGAATGAACGCTTCTACGACTTCTCCGGCTCGCTTACTTACCTTTCCGTTACCGCTCTAAGCCTGTACCTGCCCACCCTGCGTGCAAAGTACACGCCGACCCTTGCCAATGCTTCGACAGTGCTGCCCGATTTTCTTGCGCGTTTCACTAGCCCTGGAGCCACGGGAGCTCCGAACTGGAGACAGGTTGCCCTCAGTGGTGCCGTCATTTTCTGGGCCATCAGACGTAAGTCTCTCGTTTTGAAGACCTGTCAGTAAAGCCTTGGAACCAGTGCTGACATATCTGCTCACTCAGTGGGGTCGTATCTCTTCCAGCGCATCTTGGAAGAAGGCAAAGACTCCCGCTTCGATGAGATAAAAAAATCTCCGACCAGGTTTGCAGGTGCCTTCTTTGCCCAGGCCACATGGGTCTCTCTCTGTCTCATGCCCGTCATTACTCTGAACGCCGTTCCCGCCTCCGCATTCGCCGCTTTGCCGGCCGTCAAGGCCTCTGATATTCTTGGCTTACTCATTTACGTCGCTGGTTTTGCGTTCGAGATCACGGCGGACCGGCAGAAAAGCAGATGGCTTCGCGAGAGACGTGAGAAGATCCATGATGAACAGTTCATGACCGGAGGTCTATGGAGCGTTAGGTACGTTTTTGGTTCCCGTGGGTGCATGCTAATATGTCCGCACTGGAAGAATGGCAACGAGCGTAACGCATGCGAGCGAGGGAAAGCTAACTAATGCTGCCCAGCCAATACCCCAACTACTTCGGCGAGATCTCTCTCTGGACCGGCATCGCCACCGCGGCGGCCGGTAACCTTCTCCTTAAGCCAATCCAGGTGGCTCTTGGTCTATCGGGCGGCGTTGTTGGACGGCTTACCGCGGTGTGCCTGTCCTATGTGAGCCCGGCCTTTGTCAGTTTCCTCCTACTCAAGGTTTCCGGAGTGCCTCTTAGCGAGAAGAAGTACGATGAGCGCTACGGAGACCGCAAGGACTACCAGGAGTGGAAGAAGAATACTCCGAAGCTTTTCCCCAAGGTCTTTTGAGTATGATAGCGTTATGGCAGTGTCATTGGCGAGTGCATCCGAGCACAGTTCGAAAGTAATTTGCTTCATTTCATATAACAGTAACTCTTGAGTCCAATCTACTGGATGTCATTCTCTGGTACAAGCCGAAGAGTGCTCAATCCATCTCTCATGTTCCGCAAAAAAAACCTGTCCCATTTCCTGACATACCATGGTACCTTTTCAAATAGTGTAGTCCGGTACCCAGAGCGCCGCAAAGAATATGGAAAAGGAACAGGGGGGTCCAGTTGCCCATTGGGCTTAACAAACCGTAATCATTGCGCAATGTTTCCGCCTGTTGGCGTAAGGTGTTGCTGCGTCCGTTGACATCTCATCCTGACGATTTACAGATGGAATTGCTTGACTTTCTCGACCTCATCGAAGCTGCCCATAAAGATACCGGCCCTATCGTGGATGTGCTCGGGTACCACCTCCAACATTCTTCTCATTTGGCTGTCTACTGCCTGACCGCCAGCTTTCAAGTGTTGTTAGCATTGTGCAACTCGGAAAAATTGTAGGCAGAGGCACCAACCGTTCTCGAATACTAGGGCCATGGGCGCACATTCGTACAGAATACGGAGCTTGCCCTTGGGGCTCTTCTTGTCGGCTGGGTAAGCGAATACACCACCGTATAGTAAAGTGCGGTACGCATCAGCTACCATGGAACCGATGTAGCGCGCGCTATACGGCTTGCCGTTTTCCTGAGGGGTCTTTAGCGAGTTGAAGTAATTGTTGGTACGGTCCTCCCAGTAGAGGGAGTTACCCTCGTTGACAGAATAGATAGCACGGGCCTTGGGTAGACGCATGTCAGGGTGGGTGAGGATGAACTCGCCGACGCCGTTGTCCAGGGTGAAGCCGTTGACGGTACCGCCCTTCATGGTAATGACGAGCTGTGCAGAAGCGCCGTACATGGTGAAGCCGGCAGCCAAGAGCTCGGTGCCTGGCTTGAGGATATCCTCCTTGGTTCCGGTGGAGCCCTCGGGCAGCTTATGGATCCCAAAGATGGTGCCGACCGACACACCGGCGTCCAAGTTGGAACTGCCGTCAATGGGGTCGCATGCGACAGCATAACGGGCACCAGTAGCGTCCTTGAAGAAAATGACCTCCTCCTCCTCTTCCGAAACTAACAAAGCGCACTTGCCAGAAGATCTCATGGCCTCGATGAAGAGGTCGTTGGAGATTACATCAAGCTTCTTCTGGTCGTCGCCAGTGGTGTTGGAGGAACCGGCCAGACCCGTCAAGTTGACCAGGGTAGCTCGACGGATATAGTATGCGATGGACTTGAAGGAAAATTGCAGCGCGTGGCATAAAAGACTAATGGGAATGGTCAGGAAGCTGTTGCCGGGCGCGGGAAGCTGTGTAATGCCTACGTGAAATCTCCAGTAGCCTCCTTATGTTTGGCTTGCTCTTCCGTAAGGAACCTGGTCAGGGTTACGATGTTGGTGTTGATCTTCTCGGTCTCCTGACCAGTACCGTTTGTTGTGTAGGCCGACATAATAGGCTGAGAGCGACCGGGTTATTGCAACGGAATGAAAGCTTCAGCGACGAGTGTGGGATACGGATGCCTTGGTCTACGATTAGGCGAAGAGGAGCGTGTTGACGACGAAAGGTGGAAGCTTGTGATGGCGGGGTTCGCAGTGGTTCTAACAAAGAGGGATGGGGTAATGACACAAAGGACCGAAAAAGTTAGGCTGACGAGGAATCGGAAGTATGATGTAGATAAATGTTTGTAGGAGGAAGAGAGGCGGGATGGTGCAAAGACAGGCAACCGGAGGAAATGTTTCGTGTTTGTAGTTCCGGGTCTGGAACAAAACTTCAGCTTTGCCGGAAGCTCTTGTCTTTGCGGCTTGATGGGGGGTAGTCACTCATGGGCGATTGTGCCCCTCAGTTCGGCATACGGCTATCACAGGATCACGTCCTATTATCGCGCGCGATCCCGGGTCACCACGACCAAAGTGGAGCGAACAGCAAGCACCTCCGGCCGAGGGGAACCCGAGACATGGGGACAAGGGGGCAGAAAGCACAGGGCGCGAGGTACTCCTCGAGGATTTTTCGGAAATCCTCGGCGCGGTATGCAGCGAGCGGGCACGATGCTGCGGTTGACCACGGGTGGCTGTCTTTGGGCTTTGGCCGGGTTTCTTTCATCTCTGGGGATGCAATGGGGCTGGGACGAAAGTAAACCTTGTCCCCTGGGGCCCCGGGGACGTATTTCGCATCAGGATTACTGCGGGTACTGAGGGGAGTTTGCTGTCGGGGATAGGCGAATCGGAGGTAGGGTATGATATTGGAAAAAGGGACTGGGTGACATCATGTGGGTGGCTGAACGAGGCTAGTAAGTGAAGAATGATTACCTATCCGTCCGATCCCAGTAGCTTGGAGTAAGACGTCGGTTTGGTTTTTATCCTGTCGATATGTGGCTGACTGCACGCTGCCAGACCTGACAGATGCAATGCCACTCCTCGTTAAAGAAGCTCGGTTTCTGGACACGCTTGTGGCTGTTGTGGCTTAAGTTCGTCGAACTATAAAGGAAGAGTCTTTGTCCATCCGTCCCATGCGTTCTGGTTGGTTGCAGCTAGATCGGCATCGGCGTTACCAAGATTCCAGTGCAGGTCCAGCACATACAGTCATGGCGATGTAGAGTACTTCATGATCCACTGGAGGTTGAACAGCAAGAAGTACTATCGATTGGAAACAAAATGGGGTGAGCCGGAAAGTTTGGTGCAGAGTAACCGCCTTGGGTGGCCGATGCCGCCAATATTGTTAAGCAGTAATTCAATAGAAAATCAGACTCTAAACATTGGATGTGGAGAGGAGAGGAGAATACACATACGATGTAGATCATCACAGAAACACGTTGTCTTCACAAGCCATGTTCGTTGATGGCTCAGCCTCTTGAATCAAGCAATTGAACCCTTAGGCATAAACAAATGGGCACATACTTTGTACGAGCCTCTAAATCTAAGGTACCTACCACTCTACCACTCTACCCAGGTACCATGTAGTCCACCATCTCGACTCCACTCCATGTACCTAGTTGGGCTGAAAAACAGGACAGTCTACACGTGCAACGCGCTAGGGGAGAGGCACGTGAGAAGGGGGGGTTTTCTCCGCGCCGCAAGTTCCCAGCAAGAACCCAAAACCAAGCGCCCCCCGGTCTCAGCGCTGGTAGTTGTTGTCGCTGATGTCTCGGGCTCTTTGGCGGACCTCGGCATGTGGTAGCATATCTTCCAGCCGGTCGGCACGTCCAATGCTGTTCCCAAAATCAACTCCCCGATAACATGTTTCCGTCCCTTTCATTGTCAAAGACACTCGTGATTTCCATCCCGCAAACTCCGTGAATCAAGCCCACCCCGTTCATCAAAAGACATCTCCATCGCTAAACGCCTAACCCTTTTCCAACATCGCCATCGGATTTCTTCCCGACAACTGACCCGGGGATTTTAAAGTCATCTCGCAGAATGGTCGCCGACGCCCTCATCTACCACCCATCGGTGGCTCACTACAACAAGTTTGTTGCCACAACTGTTGGCCGTGACAAGGTCCTCCGCACACTGCAGTACTTTGCTCGCTTCTACGCCTGGTACCTCTTCCGCACTAATGGCTCAAAGGCCGAGATCGCGCCTTGGGAGGCCATCAAGAAGCAGTTTGGCCTGACTCGCAAGATCATGCGCGTCGGCAAGAATATCGAGCATTTCAAGGCCGCCGCAGTTGCCTCCGACGCAAAGACTACCGACCCCGTCCTTCGATATGCCGCAGTCGGTCGACAGCTGGGCTATGCCGGCTACCTGACTTTTGACGCCGCTACCGTCCTTGACGCTGCCGGCATCAAGAAGTGGGAGGGCGCCAAGAAGCTGCAGAAGGAAGCCTTCCGCTTCTGGGCCATCGGTCTCATCTTCAGTGTCATCGCCCAGACTTACACTCTCTATCGTCTTCAACAGCGCGAGGCCAAGGTCGACAAAAAGGAGGGCGAGGGCGTTGTTGAGGCTAAGAGGATAGCCATGTAAGTCCTGTCACTCGGAGGCGATGTGCACCCCCATTGTTGCCTTGACGGAATCCGTAGCTAACACTCATTGACAGTGAGCGCGCCGCCAGTCGCCTGCAGCTGATCTCCGACCTCTGCGACTTGACCGTTCCCACCTCTGCCCTTGCCTGGCTCAACTTTGACGACGGCATTGTTGGCCTTGCCGGTACTGTGAGCAGTTTAATCGGCGTCTATACCCAGTGGAAGAAGACGGCATAATTGGGTTTCGGGGGGAGACGGATGTCTTGCATGTACGTGCATGCTGACATGTGGGCTCTCTGCCGGACTGTTGGTCACGATGTGCAAGTGCTTTGAGTATTTGGTGGTGTAGGAAACACAAGGTGGTAATGCTTTGGACCATGGGGCGTTCCGGATGTATCCAGCTATGGTTGAAGGCACAGTTACCACAACAGCTGGGGAAATATGGGCAGCTTGCTAGCCGCTCTCCGCGGTTGAAGTGGGCATGATAGCCAACTTCGCTGCCAAGTAAAACACTTTCCAGCATTCTCAGGTGGGTCATGCTCCTACTCCGTGTCTAGGTACCGATGAACCTGTAAGCCTGGCCAAAAGGTCTTTCATTCGACCCAAATCAAATTGCAAATTTTTACACGGGCTGCAGTACGGAGCATATTCAATTTTGGAGATGGGGAAAGAACTCAGTTCATTTTTGCTCAGATGGATATCCATGCGTGTAATCGTACATAATACATCGGGCAATTAACTACTTTTCCCCAGCTTAACGGCGTCCAGGTTGCTGCCTATAGCCGTATTCCACCTGGCGCCAGAAAGACATCGAAATCCTTCCGCATGTCCGTGACCCGGCATTCAGCATCCGCAAGGATGCCACAATAAAACCAGGGAAAAAAAGAAGAAGAAAAAAACAACCTGGCCGTGCTCACCAGACTCATCCCCTTCTCATATTACACCCCGCTTGTTGCTGGTGAAAGGGCTGTTTTCTGGGCCCAGACTGTTGGGTTTAAGGTGCCTCCAGGATCTAGATATTCAGAGTCAAGGACAGCCCCTTTGAGGCAAGCGTTTGAGCAGGGGTGAGTTACCAGTAACGGCCACCACGTTCATACTCGCGAGGGTACCCATCACGCGGGTAACCCGCATCCCGGGGAGGGAAATCCCTTGGAGGGCGGTCGTAAGGCCTACCATTAACGTACGGGTCAGGCGGTGGGGGGTAATCCCGGCGGTACGGATCGTCGTAACGACCTCGCGGAGGGGGATAATCGTCGATGGGACGACGGGGAGGCGAGCGATACCGAGCGCGTTCATCGTAATACTCGCGGCGGGGACTTCGCTCACGGTAGCCATCGCGGTAACCGTCTCTGCGCGGGCTATAGCCACGCGGGGGACCACGTCGGTCATAGTCATCGACCGGAGGTGGGTAGGGTCGACGGCCGCCGCCAGGGGAACGGGAACGTGCGCCACGCAAGTCACGAGGCGGCATGTCGGGCTGGGTCTGCAACTATGTGAGCTCGTTGTCACTTGATTTAATCATGCATTTTTTTACTTACGTCGGCGACACAAGTGACGCGACTTCCCTTGAATTCTCGACCATCGAGCTTCTCAACGGCAGTCCTCAAATCTGCCGCGGTCTCGAACTCAACGAAGCTGAACAGGCCTCAATTAGCAATGCCCATACGTAGGTTGTGGGAGATTGAACTTACCCTCGTCCATTGCCATCGCGACCAGTCTCGGAGTAGACAACGTCAAGGCTTGATTGGCGGGCGAAGTCTTTCAGGTCCTATATCCAGAGTCCATGTAAGTTGGTGTCCAGGAGAGGTGTGATGGCCGTAGAGGGCTGATAATCCGGGAATCACAACCAGCCAGCGGCCAGGCAAAGGGGGTGAGACCACAGGTGGCGGCGTCCGGCCTTGAGGATCTGTCACTGCTCTAGCAGGGCCTGGGCCGCCTCAGAGCAACGACCCCGAATCTGATGAAGCAAACCTCGGGAGCGTAGCGCAGTCCAGACCGATCGACTAATGGGCAGCGGATGCTTGGAGTCGAGGCCGCAGAACGTGCCGGAAAGTCCATCTTGAGGGGTAGCGTGAAGGTCCAGACGCGTTGTGCGCCACCAATGGGAGGGAATCCAGGAATCCAGCATAGAGAATGGGAGAGAATCAACAGACCTGCCAACTGGTATCGGTGGGAAGCCCCGTAATCTGCATACGGTGGGGAGTGCGCCGAGGTCTCGGGGGAGCGCGCTCGTTGTTGAAGCCGGGGGCACTGCCGCCTTCCCGATGCCGGGTTCCACGGGCAAATTGTACGGTCAGGCGTTCGCCCATGAAGTCGGATCCATCTTTTTGACGCTAGGGTTAGCGGACCGGAGCGGAAGAGTGTGGTTGTCAACGAAACGGCGCGTTAGGACATACGGAAAGCTGGTTCGTAAAGGAGTCAGTGACGAGGCGACTTGGAGCCTGAGGAACAGAGAATGGCGACTTACCAGGCACAACATCACGAGCATCCATTGCATCCTTGTACTCAATGAAGCCGAATCCATTCATAAGCTTGATTTCGGTGATTTCACCAGTACCATGGGTCGCAAAATGGGCCTCGACGTCGGCCTTCGTGGCTGTCAAAGCGCGCTCGGGTTAGCAGTAGTTTGCGACCAGGAACGGCGCGACTGGCGTGCGCAGAGGCTAAGCTTACCATTACGAGGAAGGTTTCCCAGGTACAACCTGGTGGAGGATACCTCAGTCATGGTAACTGGCGGTTGCGTCCTTGACAAATCAGTCAAAGTAGCAGAGGAGAGAAGATTCCAGGCTGAAGGAGGGGTTGCAGAGGCGATGATCCGTAGATGGGGAAGGTTCGGCAGGAAAAAGCCCAAGGCGTTCACCAGAGTAGAACTGGTCAACAGTTGCGATGAGCAGCAATCGACACAAACTCCAGACCAACAACAACAAGAGTTCAACGAGAAAACCAGACTTCGTAGGCGCAAAAGAGCAAGTATACTGACGGGATAGGAAGGGTATGGATCTCGTGGCTCAGTCGTCGCTCGGAAAATGCGGGAGGGAAATAACCAAGAGATGCCGGGGACCTGTGATTGGAGAATCCAGGAATTTCGAGGGCAGGAAAGCGGTGCTACGCCAATCGGTTGGCTTAAGATGGGCTGATGCAGAAGGTGGTGTCTCTGGTAGAAGGGAAAGGAGAGGGAGAAGGAGAGGATGGGGGTGAGGGTGAGGATGAGGGTGAGGAGGAGGAGGAGGAGGTGGCGGTGGTGGTGGTGGTGGTGGTGGTATTGAAGGTAGTGCGGTTGAGGGAGGATGAGGCAGAGGCAGAAAGCTAGGGTGAGGTGCGGTCAGCCGAAGTAGTTATTTGATATTGTTGCTTGGTATCGTTCCTGGTCGAGGTAGGGATGGAAAGCCGCTGCGGTTAGCTTACCGAGCCACGACCTGGGCCTGGAGGAAGACCTGTGTGTTCCTTGCGAGGATGACCCACGACAGATGCGAAGAGAAAAAGAACCACACACATACACAGGTCGAAAGAAGAAGGGTGGGGAGCAAAAGAAAGATGGACATGGGGAGGAGGACGCTGGGCCTGGGCGAGTTGGGCCGCCGAGGATCAAGGTAGCATCGACCAATAAAATCACATCATACCCTGGTATAGAACTCCTGTCTGTACACTGAGCTACCACGTGTACCCTCTCTGATTGCAGCTTGCGGTGAGGTACATGCTTCTCGCCAGTGTGTGTTGTGTACCTCGCGCTCTTTGAACAGTCGCATTGCTGTCACCTGGCTCAGGTCGCATTGTGATCGATAAGTTGCGCTGATCATCGGAAATCTTTTCGTTTCTCAAGGTATCAAGAGCTTGCACACGCTCAGAGATTGGACCACAACGAGATTTCTGCCGACAAAACATACGCACACTGTTGCACATGACAACAGGCTTCATTTCTCCAACTGAGTCGTCTGTCAAAAAGTCCTTGGTACCTTGAGGGTTCTTTAGCCTGGAAGCTAAACGTTTTCTTTGAAATAATAATAATCAAAAACCAAAATCAATGAAACCAAAATGATAATGATAAAAGTAATGATAACGACAGTCCTCCATTTCAAGGATAATGCGACCCTTTAGAAAGCAGGAAGCTCTGAGGCGCATTATTCATGATTAAAGAGCGCGAAACGTCCCATTCATCGAGGTCAACTGCGTGCAGCGCCAGCCGTCAACGATCAGCGATCGTCGGCCGAAGGAACTTCAGCAGTATCGCAAAGAAGAACACAATACAGGGAGATCTTCGTCAGGGGTAGCTACTTTGGAGCTGACCGGCAACATCTTGCCGTGCCCAGATGACACCCAGATCTTCGCCGAATAGCCAAAATGTTCCCTGTAAGTTTCCCATACATATTGCCATCTCAAGTCCAAATTAGTCTTGTGGGAACCGCCGTGACGGATTTTAGTAGAGAACAACGGCTCGATCGCCCAATCCGTATCACTCCCTAGCCCCTACCCAGTATAGGAACCGCCGAGCCAAGCAAGCAAAACAGCTCCTGCCCCGTGTCACAAGCCACCAAAAGCAAGCGAGTATCAACATCTCCGATCCTGGCTATTTTCCCGTGAGGGCAGTTCTGATAAGTCCGGTTCCGGTTATTGATACCGTATCCTCTTCCCGATAATATAACATACTCGTAACCCAAACTTATCCCACACAAAACCCTAACCCACCCTAGCCACTGACCCTATTCCGGATACGGTGTCATTTGTAGCGGCTACGGTACCAATAGTGAAAACCCGCGGTATCAACAACCACACTCTATTCTGATGACTGTGTCTGAGATTACCATGGACTTGAGGCGAATCTGGAGATCACTGTTACGGATGTGGAGATGCCAAGTTGTTTGTTGTGCCAACACGTCTGCTCTCGCCGATACTGAATCCTGTTGTGCAGGTAGGCAGGCACGCATCGTGATGAATCGTGTATGTTTTAATTAAAACGGGGTATCCGTAGTTGCTAGGATGAAGGATGGCCAGGCACCCGGATGACAAAAAAGATGGCCGGTTGCCATATGGTAGTGGTAAGGAAAAGCGGCCGTATCTTTGTCACCCGGGTGCCGGACTACAGGTACTGGGAGTAGTGGATAGTACACTTCAGACAAGACGTCGATTGCTGTAATCCAGAATCATTCAATTCGACTGCCAACCCAGCTCCAGAATAGCCAATCTCTCAGTGGCCATCCAGTCGTCACGATATTCACCGACCTGCAGACTGCTGCTTCAACGCCGAGGCTAGCCCGAGTTCGAAACTCACGGGTACTCAAGTCCCAATTCATCCCATCCTGGATCTGTAACAGGACGAACCCCCGCCGCCCCCCTTTTGTTTTTCTTTTTCCTTCTCATTTTCTTTTGCTCGATTCTCCACTGTTCCCCCTTTCCCTCTACCTACTATGCCCCCATCCCTGGCGGAGAAGCATATCCAAACGACAGCGCTCGCCGGTACCGAAGGTAAAAACATCAACTAGGTACTTGCGTCGTCAGATGTGAGTCGCTGAATGGAATTCGCTACAGTTTCTGCCATCACTCCACACGCGTTTCGTATTAGTCGGAACGCTGTGCCCATGTTGCCTTCCCCCTTCGTTCTCGAAGCATCGTGATTCAACGCCCACGTTTCATCTAGTCGTTTGGGGCTCTCAAATATTTTAGCCTCGTATCATCTATTGTCATCTTGTCGCCTTCGACAGATCTATCTAACATTTCACATTATGAACCGCATCGTGGACCGTCTCCTCTAGTCATGCACTGAGTAGCGGTGCCTGACCAAGAAATTGAAAATCGGACGCCTGCTAATGCAGCCCCGTAATTTCATCCAACACGCCCCAGCTTGTATTATGAACGGAAGCAGTCCCGGCAGACGTCGCACTTTGCCAGTTGCCGACGCACTCGAAGATGATTTCATAGTTTCAAACAACCAACACGTAAGACGACGAACCCAGAGCTCAACCAAATAAGATCTCCACCAGTTCATCCATAAACGTGAAGGCCAGATGTGCACTACATCGTTAGCTCGCTACGCTCGACAACAATCGAGGCTGAGAAGGATGACTTACTTGAGCCTGGAATTGTTGAAAGTGGCAAACACCCGCCGGCTGGCTGCCTGAGCATTCACTCTTCCAACCACGCTCCCAGCTAGATCTGGTACGAGAGTTGCCAGCATCAAACTGGCTTCCGTTCTTGTCTTCTTCTTCTCCAATAATGTCCGCGGTTGCCGGTTCTTATTTATCTCACCGCCCGGCCACATGCTGTCCCTGAGGAGGGCAATGTACCTAACCACCGCGTCTTCCTGGACCAACATTTTGACATTGTCCCGAACTTTCCGCTCAATCGTGCCGCCAAGAAGCTGTTGCAGAACAACTACCACAGCACGCCCACGGAGCCAGTTGTTGCCTCGGTTGAGTTCGAAGACTTCGAGAAAAATGTCGCAGATGGGCTTGATGAAAGACTCTAGTTCCTTGTTCTCAAACGCATTCAATTCGGCTTCGGCTTCGGCAGCGCTTACGCCGTCCTCGTTAACAGGCATTGGAATGGCGTTGAGCTGGTTTGTTGCTGCCGCGATGAGGTTTTGACCAGCCAGTGATAGCTGGTCTAGGACTGGAATATTACCTAGAATGTCTTCTACGCCATCTGTCACAGAGTCGTACAACCTTGTGATCATATCTTTTTTGTCTTCGCGATCCATGATGTCTGTGCCCTGCGCGATCACACTCTGAGATAAGAACGCTCGCAGGTCCCGGCTCCTGCAGACATCTGGCAGCATCAGAAGCTCCCGAAGATACTGTTCTAGGGCTGCCCGGCGCTTACGAAGAAACTCGCTCTGGAACTTCATGACCATTCGCCTACGTGGGAAGTCGAGATTGCGGACTGAAGGATATCTCGAGCGAAGCTTCTGATGCAACTCATGAAACTCGCTATATCGGCGGGTAATCATCCATGTCGCTGCCGGCATCTTTTCACCGGCATCTCTCTGCACCTCAACCACGTACAAGGCGAACTCTCTGCCGTCTTCTTCTCGTCCCACCTGAATAGCCTTAATCTTGATAGTGGACCGTCCGTACAAGCTATTATCGCTCTCCTGCACGACGTATTGCTGCCTTTGGAGTTCTTTGCGACGAATTTCGCGTTGTAAACTTGCCTTGGACTTCCGGAGAATCCGAAGTTCGGCTGTGTTATTAGTAAGCTCCGCCTTCTTCGTCAGTGACTCAACGATGGCATCTTGCGCAACAAGACGGTCGATATCGTTGGATAGCGCTGTGATGGCTTCTGCTAATCCAAGATCGCCTGGTGCTGCTTCGTGCACCTCGTCTTCTACATCTCCGTTCCCCTCATCGTCCCCGTCGTCTCTTTCGTCGGAGAGGTACTTATCCTCGTCGCCGAACAAGTCATCATCCACAAAAACTCCTATGCGCGATGCCGCGCTAACAAGCCCTAGGGACGCTAGACTTGGCTTCTCGGCCTCCTTGGAGGATTGCGCAGCAGATCTTGACACCTCAAGCGATCCACGCTGAGAGTCGTTGTCTCCGGAAAACAAGCTTGAACGGTCGAGCGTATCGTCGGGGCCAAAAAGCGAAGCTCGAAACTCTTCGGCTGTTTGCGGTCGGTTATCCTCCATGATGTTGTTCAACGCTTCCTCCATGGCCTGCACTATATTGGTATCTGGAACAGGCTTGCCTGCATCCTGGTCAAGGCTCTGAATAGAGTCCATCATGCCGTCTTGGTCAAAATCGTCGTCATCAAACAATGGCGTTGGGGTTTCTTCATCGAGAGAATGACGTTGCCGCGGTACCGATTCTGAGCCACTGCCATTAGTATTGAGACTCGTCAAATCGGATGCGGATCCGGCACGCCTAGATAGCGGGCGTGAAAGTCTAGGAGCCAAGCGGGCGACAGGGTTTGGCTTGGACTGATACGACTGAGAACTTCGATACATTGGTGGATGTGCTTGCGACAATGCAGATGTCTCTTCGACGGGGGCGTGTGCGACGTTTGCTGATGCTTCTTGCGCTGCCAGGCACTTGTAGAAGAGATCGGACTTCTTAAAGGCCTGAAAGTATTGAGCTTGCATTTTCTCCAAGACATCAGCCTGAGCCCTCAGTATGGCCCTGCGTGCCTTGTAGTATTGCTCAGGGGTTGCTGTTTTGTCGGCGTCTAAAAAGGCTCGGACCTCATCTCGGCAGGCTTGTGAGACCTTCAGTTCGGCCTTGCCTAGATAGGCGTGATCGATCTGGGCCAGGTCCAGACGGTCAGAATCAGTCCACATTGGTAAATTGGAGGGCAAGTGCTCGTCATCTTGACCCTCATCCTCCAAAGGGTTTCGGAAGCCGTCCACAACCAGCCAAAACTGGACAAGAGGCATCATGCGGTGGCGGTCCATAAACTCCATGAAATAGGATAAGCCGGATGCGTCTCGAAGCAAGTCGACCAGTGCTGCGTTTTCGAGTTTTGAGACTGCCCGAGGAACACTAGCCGGGCGAGCAGGCAGAGTTGCAGAAGCTTGCCGGCTGCCGCCCGCTGCAAGAAGTTGGACGCGTTGATCTAACAGCCGCTTGCCCATCTCCAACCGGCGAAGATAAACCTGATCTTGATTTTCTTCCAGGGAATCACGTTTCAGTTGGCTTGCAACCTCGCTTCGTAATCTCCTGGCATCAGAGAGATTGTTGACTTTGCGTATCGCGCGAATGAACTTTTCAAACTTTCTCTCACTATCAGTGGGCGAGAGCCGGGGGATGATGGTGGCCTTGCTAGACCTCGGCGTCGGGGAGGCATGCTGGTCTAATGCCGCTCTGAGCTTGCGGACCGTTGATCGGTCCTGCAACATGGAGCGGCCATAGTTCTCCATCACTTGGTTCCAGGTATCAGGTTCGGCCAGGATCTGCATCACAGGAAACAGCACGGCGCAAGCCACGATCTCTCGAATGATGGTAGATACGGCTCGACTGGCAAGCACATTGGGCGGAAGAACTTTTGGCAAGATTCCAGAGACCATATTCCGCAAATAATCCTGTTGTACGAGTTTCGTGTCAGGGAACGACAATGAAGCTGCGGGATGAAGTTTTCCGTCCTTGTACTTGGAGGCGATGGCAAGATCCAGCTCCTCGGATTCCGTTACGGATCGGTTCAATTTCTTCCCCCGCACAGCTCTTTCGGCCTCGTAGAAGTCTCGGAAGTGTGCTGTCAATATTGGAACAACTCGCGTGGTAACGATATCCACAAGATCGAGCTCCTGAAGTCGCTCCCGGATACTGATAAGGGCATCGCGCACAGCTTTGTCGACTTGGTTTGAGAAGACGGGGTTTTTGCTGATGTTGGAGTACCACGAACTAACAAAGTCGCGGATTATGAGCTCGATAAGGTCGTCGAGAGCTTTGGAGATGCGGCGGGAGTCAGGGTCGAGCGGCACTTTCGAGTAGGCCTGTCGTGTCTGGAGACCAGCGACCTCGTGGGCCCAGGCCTTTGGCGCAAGGAACGCAGGGCCATTCGGACGTGGCGATCGATGTCGCAAACTGCGTCTGGAACCGCGCGACGTGAGCAGTATGAAGGCGAACAAGATGACGGTGGCCAAGACGACTCCTCCCACCAAGGCGTAGCCCATCCATCGCAAAGTTGGCAACCAACTGACGGCGTAGCCCCAAGCTATGAAGCATGTGATGAAGGCAAGGATCAGGTCTCTGCCTTGCAGGGCCATAATCCAGAATAATTCAAGGGGCGATAGGCTGCCGCTACATTGTATGTCGTCGAGGTTTGCGGCGCTCGCAGGAGCTGCTGGGTCGGATGATTTGGATGAAGTAGGAGGGAAGCTTGGCTTGGCTGGGCCTTATCGATTAAGAGGAGGGGAGGCGGGTGCGGATCGAAAGACACGTGTGAATGGCATGTTGTTGAGCTGTGGTTCGTTCCAGGTCTGCTGGAGGTGGCCAATGTACCTAAGTGCCTAGCTAGACAGTTAGGTAGGTACAGTGGGGACTCACGAGTCTGAGATCACCATACAGTGCACCACCTTAAGCTTACTAACACTACTACTCAACTATCTAAATATCTCTCTACCTTAGGCATAAGAGTAGTATTTTTAAGTTATATATAGTAATATAGCTTAGTGTTATATTATATCTTATAATATATACTATTATTATCCTTAGTGTTACGGGCTATGCCCGGCCAATTGGCATGGGCTGGAAGCCCATGGCAAGCGCCTTCATAAGTGCTGCCAAACAACAAGTCAGGGACTTGTAGTTATGTACCTTTTGACTATCCGACCGGATGGCTCAATGGGTAGTGCACGCCACTACGTCCGCCCACTGGGTCCACCCACTGAGCCCCATGTAATGGGTAACGGAAGGCAGAGATTCGCTGGCAGCCGAACTACGCCCACATTAGTAGGCCTGGCCCTTCACAGTACGGTACCTAGGTATCTTCATTGCTATAGCTTGCCGCAGGGTCCGTGACTTGAGGTGGGCCTGAGAGCTGTCACTTGGGCCGACAATGGATATGCAATTCGTCGCTACGAACTGTTTGAGGGTAACTCGCCCATCACGGGCGAACTGACATGGCAATCAAAGTCGTCAAACCCGATGTAGATCGCTGGCGAATACCTTTGTGAAATGATTTTCGATCCAGTTCCGTGACGGACAACGCTGGAGGACATCCTGGGGCTTCAACAGTGCTGCCACAATGAACAATGAAGGGTATTATTGATCTTCTCAGGGCCGATATTAGACCACGACTTCTCACTTTCTGAGACTATTTCGCTTCCGAATCTTGTCACTCTATTTCCTACTCACCATGGGGGGTCTTCGAGTCTGCGAAACAGAGCCACGTACTTTTGCCCCTGGTTCCGTGTCACCTTCTTACTCTCCTCCGTCTCCGATGTCATCACCTTGACACACTCATCCGCGTCCTGCTCTTCCTCAGATACACGCTCGAAAGAAGGGTGGGCGTTGAAATGGCCGACCATCCACTGGTGCAGGGGTTCGACGTCGGTGATGGTATAGACAATGCCGCCTGGGCGCAACGCAAAGGCGTACTCGGAGTTGAGCGTCGTCGACACAATTCTGGCTTTGTGCTTGCGCGCCTTGAAGTGTGGATCGGGGAAACAGATGAAGATCTTGGAGAGCTGCGCCTTTTTGAAGAAGTTGGGGAGGAACTTCATGCTGTTAGCGCGCAGGCAGCTAATGTTCTGGTATAGGCCATCCTTCTGATTCTGCGCTCTGAGGGCTTTGATGCGCTCCTGGACGTATTCCGTTACCGAAGTGCGAATCTCTAGGCCTATCCAGAAGGGTTAGCAGGCAGACCAGCCAACAGCAAGCATGCCGGGTGTGTGTACCGAGAACGAGGGTCTCTGGCAGGATCGAGGACAATGCCACGAGTAGCCCGCCGAAGCCGCACCCAATGTCCACCACTTCGACGTCTTTCCTCAAACTACGGGTTTTTGGCTTCGAGACATCCAAGGCAGTTGCGTCGGAGGATGTCGCACCAGCCAAAGAGGGCCTGTCGTCTTCGGCGGCAAAGGCAGGGTAGTACTGCGTCCAGTTCATGGACTCTGGGCTCGCAGGGCTGCGGTCAAAAGAGTGCGCGGTAAGCAACCATGCGAGACCTGGAGAATCGAATGGCATGAGACTCAACTAGACTAATTGATGGTCCGAGAAGGGGTTCGCATGAGCGCGTTGGCGATAAAACTTCTTTCTGGGCAACTCCGCCACGCCCTCCTGATTACGCGCATTGCGATATTCCTCACGCTTGGTGCTCTTGTTTTTGGCTCTACCCATGATGTTCGGGCCGTCGGAGTTTTTGCTTTATGACATATGGTATTGAAACAGAGAAAGAAAGAAAGACCAGCCTAGCCAAGCAGTTTGCAGGCACACAAAGGTTCGGGACAGGGAGCCGTGCGATATGCACACACAAGGGAAGTGAAAGATTGGCCGCCTGAAAATACAAAAAAGTTGCGATCGACGCATGGCGGGGGAATTATGGCGGGACCTGCCGATTGGGCAGGCGGTAAAGAGTTGCATCGGAGCTTCGCTGAAGACAACTTTGACGGATCCCAAAGAACCTACCTAGGTAGGTAGGTACCCTAATGGGAGGTACCTTAGGAACAACCATGTCACTGCCGAACAGCTGGAGGGGCCACATTAAGGGGCGCCAAGGGGCCGAAGCTAGCACATTCGCTGAAAGGGACTACGAGGACGGTTTGGAGTATTTTGTAAATGCATTAAGAAAACACAGGCAGGCTCTCCAAGGTGAGGTAATGTGGCTGCCACTGTCCAAAGGAGAAAAGCGGTTGGTTTCGGTTTCAAGACATGACGGACACCCCAAGAGGCATGCACACGTGTGCCTCTATGAACTAAGGAGACTTATTGCAGCTGTGGTGCTCCCTTGCATCCTGCATCCGTCCATATCTGCCTGACAGAAGGGCACGAACGTAGGTAGAATAAGAAGCGGGCCAAAGTCTTGCAGACGTTCAAACCAAACACACAGTCCCTTGGAAAACACCCAACAACGCCAGGTAGCCAGCCCATTAGACACATCTCCATAGCTAACGTCTTCCGTGTGAGTATTTATTTGCATCTGCTAGTGGCCTCATGATCCAATCCTCATTCTTTGCCCGTAGTCCGTCCATTATACCTTAACAGACAGTCTCACGCCACCGGCGTGGTCAATGGTTCTTCTACGGATCGTCCCATTATTCAATAACCTGGGAAAGGCCCCCAAGCCCCCTCCTGCCACCAAGCACACACTTCCACGACTATCCGTCCGTACACTACCTACCTAGGTAGCTAGGTACCTTGCCGATATTCTCAACGATTCTCTCATAAGCAGTCATTCTACCCTCAACAGACACCGCAGTTTCCGTCATCACACACGCCGTTCTCACGTCCACTTAACCATTCTTACAGTGGGATAAACAATATTATCTCCTTCGAGTCGCATTTAGCCATTGCAGTCGCTCTCTCTCTCTCTCTCTCTCTCTCTCTCTCTCTCTCTCTCTCTCCTCTGTGTGTTTGTGTGCCTCCCTCGCACTTTTTCTTGTCACAGGGATCGAGCCAGCACTACTCCTTGAACCTTAGCGGAACGTACCAGGATCCCAAAAGGCTTCCGCTGCTCTCGCAGCCCCCTTCTTCATGGATATTCGCGCGCAACCAACATCGTGGTACGACACCATGATGACGTACTCGTTACTGTCATCCGCCTATCCTACTGTTGTCAGGTACATCTCCGGCGCCTTCGTAAGTTTTGCTCACTCCATCCTCCTCGATTTCTTGTCGCAGCCAGCACGCTTACAAGGTCCACCAAAGATCGCTCTGGGCTTTGTGTTCATCATACCCATCATCCTGCTCATTGCAGTGGACTTTGGCATCTACATTTACAGGATATGTTGGAGTCGCCCCTGGAACCGATATCAGAACCAGCCATCGCACCCGCATGAGCAGCGGTTGCAGCAACTGCAACTGCACAAGCTCCCGCCAGAAGTCGTGGAAGGGACACCGATCGTGACCTCGACGGCGACAGGCGCTGTGCGGAAACGTATACAGCATCTAAGCAAGTCTGGGGATGGTAACGACGTGTCGTCCGGGTAAACGGGGCGCGTGCGACGTTACGATGAAGGGACGAGAGCTGTGCTTCGAGCGTGCGGGTTTTCTCTAAGCTGATGAACATGCTTGTTCTGGTTGCCTCGGCAAAGTGTTCCTCGATGATCTGCTTTCGTATCGGATTCCTGTGCGTGATCTACTCTACTTAGGCTTAGTGACAGCGGCTGCTTTTAGAGAATACCAAAAGGTGTTGTTGAGCTAAACCAGGCACGGCTAACGGAGAAATGACTTCCTTTTCCCAAGGGGCCCCTGTTCATGATTGAGCTGAGACGTACACTACTTGTAGCTGCCTCGCAGCTACTTTGGAATTCAGAGAGAGTCACTGATAATCGATTACTTTCAGAGGAATAAAAGCTTGATCAAGTAGGCTTCCCGACCACCTGTTTAGCACCAAAGAGGCTTGTTGGCTGGGTGGTCGGATGGCTCCCGTTTGTCTCCCGTCTCTGACCGGTGCAAACCAGGCGCGTGCATCCCGCAGCCCAGATAACGATAACGATTTACCTTCTGTGGGGAATAACTAACAGCGCCTCGACATCAACTCTAACGTTGACAACACCATCATCATTCTTATACGCCAAGCCACCCTTCCGACTAGTTCCTCCAGCATTTCCGTAGCAGGCTTACTACAAGTGAACAGAGATTGTTTGCTTTGGTTCATATATCAATATGCCTCAAGACCCAAACCTCTACGGTCAACCGCCGCCCAAAAAGCGCAAGGCCAGCAGCGCTGCGCTCAGCAGCTCCCTCGACTTCACAGCCCAGCTCACATCCCTAATGTCCGCATCGTCTACCACACCCTCCACGCCCGCCCGACCGCGACCCTCGAAAACAAAAGACAGTATATTTGGTAGCGCAAGACGCAAACGTCGCGATGGCGACAACGACGCCGGCAGCGGGCAAAACAAAGTTGGCAGCGGCTTAACAGATGCATCCAACAAGCTCAACCTTCGAGAACCCCTCGGCACGGAAGAAGATTCCTCCAATCTCGCCCAAGCACGACGCAAGATGGAGGAAAAGGCACGCCTTTATGCTGCTATGAAGCGTGGTGACTATGTCCCTAAGGAAAACGAGGCTGCTCCCCTCATTGACTTTGACCGAAAATGGGCCGAGTCGGAAGCGGGCAAGGACTGGAACGACGAAACGAGCTCTGGGTCCGACGACGGAGCTGATCAGGACGAGGACGGTGACAAGGAAGTCATAGAATACGAAGATGAATTTGGCCGTCTTCGCCGCGGCACACGAGCAGACAAAGAACGCCTCGAGCGCCAGCGCCGTCGCGGCCTCCTCGGTGCCGAGGAGCTTGAGCGCATGTCCGCTCGCCCCGCTGCTCCTTCGAAGCTCCTTTACGGCGACGCCATTCAGACCATGGCCTTTAATCCCGAGGACCCGGACAGAATGGAAGAGCTGGCACGCAAGCGCGATCGCAGCGCCACGCCGCCTGAGGCCAGTCACTACGACGCTGACAGCGAGATTCGCACAAAGGGTACAGGCTTCTACAAATTCAGCAAAGACGAGGAGACGCGGCAAAAGGAGTTTCAGAATCTCGAACAGGAGAGGATTCAGACGGAGGCTGCGAGGAAGGAGCGGGAGGAGATTAGGGAGGCGAGGCGCAGGGAGATTGAGCAGCGACGAAAGGACGTCGAGGTGAGGAGGGCTAAAAAGCTGGCCGACAGCTTCTTGGACGGTCTGGCAGCCGATATGGGCAGCAACACTGAATCAAGGTAACAAAAAGGCATGTCGTCGATTCATAGAGCATGGTCATTATCAATGGTGATGATCAACTGCAGCTTTATTTTCCCGTTCTTCAGAAACTAATACTAACATGGGTTGACGTGCAAGACTAATCCAAACCTGCAACATCAAACAAAGTCTTTTCAAATAGTATTTGACCAACCTTGGAGGTGACTGGAACAGCGTCCTCCCCCGTCATCACACATCAAAGAGAGGCCTCCTTCCAAGGACGGGGGAGTTGTTTGCCCGCCCATAGATATCCGCTAGGTATATACAATCGCCTGCCCACTGTGCCACAAATAAATACGCCCATGATGCTCAGCCAGACCGGAATAACGCCTATAAAACATGTTGAACACAACCCATTTCGCCGATAAAATAGAGTGTGCAGGTGATAGGATGGGAGAATGAGCGAGGGGGTACATTAGTCATATGGTAAAATCCGGGTTTTTGTTGTAGCCATGATAATTTTGTCGCCAGAGATTTCCGCGCTAGGTAAACCACCATATGCACCCGCAATCGCTCAACTGACTAGTCCTGGCCGGCCGGTCTCGGGGAGACACCATAAGACTGTCTTCATGGATCCAACGCTTTGTTGAGTCGGCAATCGCCACAGTTTGCCGGTTTTCTATGATTGTGACTTCAATCGGCTGGCCCTCGTCCGTCAGAACAGGGACAGTGGTCACGCCGTCCTCGCAGACTTCGACTTGTCGACAAACGGCATTTTTTGTCCCATCAAGTGATACGCGACGCTCTTCAAACTTGATTACCTGAGAGTATGGTGGCGGTGGTATCCATGGAGGCCGATCATTGGGAATCGAGGTTGATTGAGGCGCCCCAGTCTGTAAGCCATGACGGACCAAGAACTGTGTCGAGGTTGTTGGTGGAAAGGTTGCAGACGGGGTGGCGCGCGTGGTCGAGGTCGGCTTATGATAGCTGTTGTTCTGCGCCGGATAGACAAATACTTCAAGAAGGGTGCCAGGCCACGTACAGATCCATGGCCTGTCGCCTGCCTGTGCTCCTTTCACGCCTTTTCTGCTGTAATCTCCCAGTTGGGGCGACGAGCCACCCCACCCTCGCTTGGATTGTGGCTGCTGCTTCTTCGGTGTGCTGACGCCAGGAAACCTATCCTCCGCCACGATAACTGTCTTGTTGTACGTCATCTGAGCAAACCAAGCGGCGCCCCGGCTTGGTTCGGAGGTATCATTCACCAGCCGCATCTTCAGCGGATCTATGATCAAAGGTGGCTGAGTGCCCCATGAGAACATGTTGACTCGCGAGTCGTCATAGGGGTCGCTGTCGTTGAAAGTGGTAAGTTTCAAGGTGTAGTCGGATATGGGTAGTTCGTTGGCGATCCGGGAAACGCCCATGACGTAGCTAGTAAAGGGAATATTGCAGGTCCAGGCTTGCGATTGTGTGGTGTCATTGAAACAGGTGTTTGGTGCTTGGCTCGCAATAAGGGGCGGCAGACCGAATATGCCAATATCCATCGGTGGAAGGTCTGGCGGTAGTGTAGCTAGGGGTCTGATATCCACTGTTGCCGTCGGGATAACAAGGGGGATGGGCTCTTCATCTTGGTGTCTCCCAGGTGGTCTCCTGTGCTTGGCGAAGAAAGTGCCAATGACAGCACCCAAGATGATGCCCCTGAGCGACTTGTTAGCCTTGGAGAGAAACCTTGCAGTCCAAAGATCAGTACTCACATCATCACCAATCCGACTGCCAGTAAGCAAATAGCCCAGTAGGGGATCACACCAAACAATCGCATCTTTGCTCTTTTTTGCCACTTGCGGTCGGAATTGGCTTCACCCTTCTCAGCATAAACCTTGGCGGCAGTGTTGATTTCGTGATGGCTAGCGGTATCAGAGGTCAGTGTCCGAGATGACATCCGGGACGGCTGCAGGCGAAGGTCCTCTCGTGACTCGAATTCTGGGTTGCGAGTAGCAAGCCCTAGGCCACCGGCGCCGGGAATGGGTGCAACCGAGGCATTCGTGACAGGAATTGGATGCTGCTGTGATTGTTGTTGCTGTTGCTGCTGCTGCTGCGGCGGCGGCGGCGGCGGCGGCGACGACTGGTGGCGTTGATGCTGCTCGGGTTGTGGTGACTGCTGCCCTGGTACCGATTGTGGCTCGCCTGGTTGTTTCCTTGCGTACGCCTGCTCAGGATACCTGGTGTATGGTGGGAGCTCTTCCGTGTGTCCCAAAGGGCCGATCAAGTCGGCAATTTCTTCTCCTTCAGGACCGATTCGTCGATGGTAGCCGTCAGAACGCCCTGAGAAGCCCACGGGAATATTGTCGCCCTCATTCGTATCAACAGGCACGGTGTTCTGCGTGTAGAGAGTGTAGGGGTGCGTCGGCCCGCGGGGTCCTGCGTATGAGCGTTCAGACATGCGGGCAGTGGTCGATGTTGCCACACTGTTTGTCCGTTGCGGGTACATTTGGTACGGATGGGAGGGACCGGATGGCCCTTCGTAGGGACTCTCGGATCGAATAATGGGGGAATCGGTCGAAGTGCTGGAAACACGGGAGATGGGGGCGCCGTTTGGTTGAGAGGCGGAGCCATCGTGACGAAGAGCCAGAGGATCGTGGGAGCGCGGGGGTTTCGCGATGCTCGAAGGTCGGGCAGGTGTGACTCGCTGAGTGCCGGGGAAATCTCGTGACACAACCGCCGAGCCAGTCGAAGGGTTTGTGGTCGAGGTGATGGGTTGATGGGCAGCGGAGAGGTGGTCCGGACGGAAGCCATCTGAGATACCCATGGCTGCCAAGGCGTAGTCGTCATCATCGTCGGCCGTGAGCGAGGTTCTGGCAGACATTCGAACGGAAGCCCTCCGCTCGTTACCCGTCTTGCCCTGGAAATGATCCATGGCGATGTCGTTGTTATGGTCGCAAATCAACGACGAGCTGCGGCCGATCAGGAGTATGGTGGTACCAAATTTACAACATGGGCGTCGGCGGCTGACCCCAGAGGCCCAGATCCGGTCCCTCGGTGCCTCTCTTGTCGCCTGGAAGATTTGCCGCTTCGAGCCAGTCGTCGCCGTGTGAATGAAATTAGGGTGCCGCAGGACAATAGTCGTCGTATAAGGCGATGGAATTAAAATTGAAGAGTTTTGTCTGGTATTTGTTGCGTAGGAGCGAACTGATGAAATGAGTTGGCAGCGTGGAAAGGAAAGGCAAAGGTAAGGGAAAGGCGTATGGTAGGCTTAGGTGGTGGAGGAGAAGGAGGAATAGGCGTAGAACAGGGCGAAAAGTGGGAGTGGGAGTGCGGGTGCGGGAGGGTAATACCAGACAAGGTTGGACGATTCAGGAACAGTTTGGGTTTGGGGTCCGACACGAAGAGTCCAAACGTGCCATTGGTGGCATTAGGAAATGGGCCCCTCTTTTTCTCTTGTCTACCGGCTGCACTACCTGAATCACTCAGGTACCTACACTACTGTAGGTAAGTACGATAACGTACCTAGATAAGCAGATACGCTACTGAAGATCGGTACGTACCGATGGTCTTCCGGTACCTGCCTACCTAAAGTAGGCAGGTAGGCGGGCAGTTTAGCGTATATCAAAAAGAGAGCCAATCAATGCCTTTTGGGGGGTGGTAGAAGTACAATCCCTCGCTCTGGTGTGCAGACACTAGGACTAAGGACTTGTACTTTGTTTTAGGAGAGAAGAAGGTGGAACAAAGAACGGAGCCGAGAAGAAAAAAACGAAAGAAAGAAAAAAGATGGAGGGAGGAGGGAAGGGGAGAGGAAGGGGCCGCCAAGCTGTCCTTGGGTAGGTGCAGGGTGCCAGGTGCCCCCTGGTAGGTAGTGTGCAAGACTTCGGTCTCTGACCCGGGGCCGGGCAGAATCCTTGAGCCCAGGCATGTAAAGTGAAGTGAAGGCCGTGGGAGGAGAGGAGAGGGGAGGTACAAGATACAAGTATGTGTAGTCGCAGATGAAACATGTACCTCCCGTCCAGCTTGGTTGGAGACGAGGAACGTGTGTTCTTCCCCCCGATCTAGCATCAGCGTCAGCGAGATGCAAAAGGCGGCCGGCCGATGGGGTAAGCCAGGTAAGGTAGGTACCTGGGTAGGTACCTAGGTAGAGGCATGTAGCGCAGGGGGAGTTGCCACGCAGTGGCGGGCTCCGAAAGCTACAGAATGACCAGGCTATTTTTCTTTTCTTTTCTTTTTCTTTTTCGCGAGCTTAATGTAGTCAGTTTCGCTCTGTACTTTACTTGTATTGAGTAGTTACTCACACTCTGTGAATGATGCGGATGGATGGTGCGCAACCGCGACGTAAAGAAACGGAGGCGCGGACCGGAGGAAGCCCCTCTTCAAGAAGAATCAAGGAATGAGTGGATGCCTGTGTTGTGGGTTTCAACCCATGGCGACAAGCCAGGAGCCCCCGCCGTCTCCTCTCACTGAAGCTGTAGGGGCAGGCGTTCGTTGGTTCGTTTGTGTGTTTGAACGGTGGAGAGCGTAGCATTGGCCGGTTGCTACAGGGCTCATCTCGTTCTTCATGTGCACGTATCTGTATCTTCTCCCGAGGCACCACAACGTTAACCACCTATTCTTACACTACACACAGGTACAGGTGGACGGACCCACGTGCTGCTGACATCCCTTCTACCTAGGCAAAATTAGGTGGTTACAAGACACGCTGGACCTGGTTAACTTGAGAGGAAGAGTGTGCGGGTGGTCGATCATAAAACAATGGCCTTCTGTTCTCGTTCGTTCGTCATGATTCACGTAGCCGCTGGGACGGAGGGGCCAAGACACCGAACCGGCACCAGACAACTCAGCCTAGTTGAATCGCCGAGTTGTTCACATCGCACCTGATCTGCAAAGAGGGCCGTCAATCCCGATGTATATTGTTGGCATCTTCCCCATCACTACCGGCATCCTTATTCTTGTAGCGACTACACTACGGATACAACCTCGGCCTTGAGTAATTCTTGCTTCCCCTTCTCTCGTGCTTGCGCCGACCGTTGGCACACTACAAGTCCTTTGCCGGCGCTGTCACAGTGCAAAGTTTCAGACGTTTGGCAAACAGTGGGGTTCCCGCTTCAAGTAGCCATTGTGTTTCTTCGGCGCGGCTTCGGAAAGGCAGGCGAACGGCAAGCCGAGCGCTGCCAAGAAGCTTGAAGGACAGATAGATACTTACCTAGGTAGCCAGCTGGATAAACCGGAATGGGAGAGACGGATATCGAGGGATGGCCCTACCAAGGTACGTTGGTTGGTGTACCTACTCTCCGAATCCTCGAATCCTCGAATCCATTCCGTCCTGACAAGGAATGCGCCCACAGAAAAGGAGGTACGGACGGGAGAGCACCCAATCCCAGCCTCAGCCGGGCAAGACAACAGGACCAGTCACAGATCCCAGTTTGACTACCAGGCTACCAGCACACGAGCTTCACCCTAGCATCCGGGGTCTTCGCCAAGGAAACAACCATGTATGGACTAAGACCATTCACGACCCCACGAGGATTATCTACCACGTACATTGTACATCCCCCACCGGCATACCTACTGGCAAGACCGATCCTTATAATGGGGACGTGAGTGCTGCTGCTTGCTCTTGAACTTCTTTTCACACAGGAATACAACCAAGTAATACTGTACACTACGAGAGAGAACACACGCACACGCGCGCACACACACGTGTACGAGCACATAAACAGGTAGGTACCTTGCATTTATTACCTCCTACCTAGGTCGTGCAATACCACCAAGTACGAGTACGTCCTAACCTAGTGTACGGAGTACCGTGGAATTCGAGGTGTAGGTACCGGTAGATAGATTTCTACCTAGGTAAGTACCTGTTGAGCATCTCACGTACATCCTACATCCTACATCACATCACATCCCCTCTGTTAGAGTTCAACTTAACCCGAACCGAGTACCCTCAAACGGCAATCTTTCCCGGCCGCTTGCGTCGGGAGACTGTGCGGTAGGAAGCCTTCCGGGTCGCTGCATGTTGGTCGCTGATAACTGCTCTGCGCTCTCTTCGCCGCTGGGCAGTCTCTTGTTTTTCTTCCCGTCGTTTCCTCAAATTGGAGATTGCATTAATGCCACCAACGATGCTCCATCTTGCTTTCAGCAGGGGGTACAGTGGCCCTAGGTTTCTGGGCGCTCCCTTCTCCCAACTCCCCAAGACAGAGCCTCATGATACCAAAACCCTGGCTCTTCTGACCTCCTTGCCTTCCGGGACGGATCCCCCGGTCCTCCACGCCCTGGGTGCTTGTCAAATCGATCGGTTCGCCTTGGCATTTGCCATCGGCACATTCAGTGTGCGGCTCTGGCGGCCAACTGACAAGGCAGCCAGCTAGGCAGAAGCCAAGCAAACGCTGCGACGCATTCCTTTGTACACTAGGTAGGTACCAAGGTAAGTAGATGCAGTCAGTATACTGCAAGCAAGCAGCATAAGCCTTATATCAGTCCCGGCACCGCTAGCTGCCCCCTCAGCCCAGCAGCCCACCATCTATCCATCCATCCATCATCCAACCCTCACAGCCGAACCCAGTAGCTCTTGTAAGCAGCTGTGAACATACGGGCTGTGACCGCCAGCAGCCAGCACCATAAACACCCGCCTGCTGGCTGAACGAGCGGCTGGATTCTCGGGCATGCCAAGTCATGACATCCTCCGTGCCTATCCACTCAATTTCGGTGTGACCCTCCCTAGCATCTAGTGACTGAAAGCCGAGGAGCAGGCGACAAAGGACGGGCGCGCCCCCTTCCAGTCACTCTGCCTGGCGGAATTCTTCCAATCCAGAAGGCAATACAAGATCGCATCGGCTACGGCCACCGCGCGTACACTCTTCATTCTCTTGTTCAAGCGATTGGAAGTGGACGAGATGGTTGCCACGGTCTCTCTTGTATGGTCGCAGGGCCTCGAACTACTGCACGTCAAGACAAGATGTGTTGCCGACTGGCTGTCGCTCCCACGTTGAACAGCCCCGTTTTCATCTAGTCATCCCCCCTACCTATTGCCAGCAACGAGATGTGAGTGAATCGCCGCCCTTTTGGTTCCAGGGGTGCTTGGAATTATGGATTCCGTTGGCTGTCCCTTGAGCATTTTCTTCTGCACTTGCAGCCTTGTTTTCTGTCCCACATACTCGGGTCTCGTGGTCCCCGAAGATGGTGGATGGCAATTGGTGACTATGGTCTGCCGCGGAGCGCTGGATTGGGTTACTGCTCGTGTAGATGCATGCTGCTCGACACTGGCCGATGTTTCATCACTGGCTCTGCGAGTTGCGGGCTTCTCTGATAGACTATCACGCGAGCTATGATGCCCGTTCTGGTATTGCCTTTGTGTTACTCAAAGTGCAAGCCGATGTCTGCAGATACTCGATTTCCTTTCCTCTCTTATCAGGTTATCTCCCCCCCCTTGGCATTTCCTACGCTGCCTCCTGATATAGCATAGGTCGTGCAACTCGGCATAGGGTAGCTGCCAGACTCGATGCCTATGCTGTCCCAATAGACTTTGAGTTGTCTCAAAAGATCGGTTTGAAACACGGGTAGTGTAGGTATGTATGGTGGTCGGTACAGGCCTGCCATGGAAACAGGGCGGAAGGTGAGTGCTCAACGTCCCAGGTTTGCTGCTGGGGGGGTGTTGAACCCCGCATGCAAAGGCCGTAGCCTTGTTCACATCCCTCGCTTGACCATTATTGGTTCGATCTGGAGTAGGCAGCCCTTAAGCTTGGCGAGGTAGCGTTGTGAGGCACGGCGTCCCCTTGCTTTTGCACTTTGCATCATGCACATTGTGCTGCATAGGCCACTGCTTTGCCCAAGCCCCAAGGATAAGACGAGGCGAGCAACGTCGACCACAGATGTGGTCATTCACGGCTGCGCTCGACCGTTCCACCTGCAGTGCAGAGTGCGACAAGTATATGATCAAGGTCCATCCCAGCGACCTGCTGCCCAGTGCTCGCCGGCTGCTTGTTTACTACTTCTTGCTTCATCTCTTCTTCGGTGACCAGCAAACTCAACCTGAGCTGCGAGGGGTCCGAGCTTGGCCTCCAATTCCTTCCTTCTGCCGTGTCGTACCGAGTTGCCCCCTTTCGTCCCTTCCTTCCCCCCTCTCTCTCTCCCCCTCTGCACCTTGCATCTACCGCCGCTGCTTGCTTTGCATAGCCCGTCCAGCCTAAACCATATACAGCCTGCCGGTGTCCAATTGCAGCCATGGGCCACCATCGCCACATGGACGATGCTTCGTCCATCTCAAGCTACTCATCCGCTGGTTCTTCCCGTTCGTCCTCGAGGTCATCCTCGAGCTCGGGAAGTTCCAAGAAGTCAAGGTCGTCCCAGGTGTCCCATTCCAATATCAAGAGTGACCATTGGGCTGTCTCCCTCATGAAATATACTGCCGGAGCCCCTTTCGGCAAGCCAATGTCCCTGCGCAAGACCAAAGTCCGCGAGCTCCAGGGGGCCTGGGACTATGACGACGACGACGACGACAGTGCCAGCATCTACAGCAACGTCTCATACACCACGTACGCCTGGGTCAAACCGAAATGGGACGATAGCATCTCCGAGATCGCCTCCAGGTCCGATAGCCGGAGCAGCGGACGGCGTCGCAGAGGGCCGAATGCACATGGCCGGCCTCGCTTCACCGCGCCCCCGCACACGCACCAGCACCCACCCCCGTTCAACCATCCACCGCCGCCACCTCCGCACTTCATGACGCCTCCGGGTGCTCCCGTGTACGACGAGGGCCCCGGCTTCTTCGACTTGAACCCCGGATTCTATCCGCCGCCTCCACCGCCTCCCCCTGCTGATAGCGGCGGGGCCCCGGCTTTCTTCGACCTGAGTGGTGGTGGTGGCGGCGGCAATCACCCAGGAAAGTACGATGACTGGGAGTAGACAGACCGTCTTTGAATATTGTCGATACCGTACCCAATCGGGTGTTGATTTCCTTTTGCTTGTATTTTATTTTATTTTGTCTTCTTTTTAGGTTTGGCGTTTGAACCACCAAAATACTACTCAAAGCCCCTCCCCCCGATTAGTACCCAGGACACCGAAGGGAAACACAGAACCTTCAAGGAGGCGGAGGGGGTTGGAGGGTGAAGGATTTGATGACTTATAATATCTGATTCAATGCTTATTCCAACGATATGTTCACATGGAAATACCTCTCTGTACCAACCAAATTTGATACTCCTAGGTTGCCATCGTTGTGGACCTAGTAGCGACATGACAACATGATTTGATGTGACGCCATCTCGGGTTGTTGGCAAGAGGGACTCATCTCAATAAGATTTTGAAAAGGAAAAACAAGCTTCAAACCCTCCGGGGCTTGCTCTGCGTCATCCGGAGAAGCCGCTGTAACTAGCAGCTCGCGGCCGTGGCTGAGCTTGGTCCCAGCCAAGGATTGGCCTCACGCATCACAGCCCCATACACTATGGATCCTTGACTGTGCATCTTCAATATGCGTAGCTTTTTGTAGTCACCACATCATTGGTCTCAAAGTGTGCATCTCGTACGCATGCGCTCAGGATTGGCACGAAAACCGACATTTTCTTGCAAGAGCCCTAGCGTGTCATTTGCTCGCCCAAAAAGGGTTTAGTACTTCTTTTCATCCACTCATATGGCCATTCACTTATGGGTTACACATGGTCGTTGATATGCAGTCATCCTGAGCCACAGCTACCGCGGCTGTGTTGCTCCCCACCAATGTATTGCAGCCCACAGAAAGTATCGCATTCTTCCACTTGCTCGTTTGTCACGGGGGATTCCAGAGCTCTACCGGTAAACTCGCGATTTACCATCCCGAATAGGGGCTCGTAAATCATTTAGCTGGGTTGGGGGCCCTCTCTAATTAGCCCCCTCATCATAGTCTCATGCCTCCAAGCTCACCGGTGGCACTGTTGCCTAACTAGCGGGGGTCTGGTCAAGGTCCGATCATCACCCTCAGAGAGCTTCTCCAACTCTTGCTGAGGCAGCGTGCAAGAGTACATTGCATAGGACCTGCTTTTTTCTCGCCGCTGTCCTAGCGCAGTCCGGAGTGACTCACGTGAAGGGGTTTTCATTCGGCGGCCTCATGCAGTATCGCCTTGATACCAATTGGGTAGTGAACCATCCTAAGGGACATGCGTCTCTCCCATTCCTTTTGCGTGGTGGGGTGGATGGTACGTCCGCCTTACGGGCTGGACCCGTGATCACAACGTGTGGGCGCCTCGCTGCTGTTGACGTGGTTGCCTCACCTGCATGTGTAGGTTTATACCTCATCGGCAGCCGAGTATATAGTATCGAACCATTTCCTTACATCCGCCGGCCGATCATGCAGTGTCCCACTTCAATCACTCACGAAACCCATCTCTGACTATTGTACAAAGAACCATTGGGCCCCCGCTCTCCAGGCCTAGATAAACCACAGCATCCGTCAGCAGGGACGGGCCGTCTTTAGACGATCAGCAGTCCAGTATCGACGTTCCTTTCTCTGGGCTGGCTTCTCTTGTAGAAATCTTCGACACCGTTTTCGTCATGAGCACATCCGCCCAGTCCGCGTACGCGGAACCCATCAACGTCTCGTCGAGCCTGCCCCAACCCGCGCCGCAGCTGGCGCTACTCGACTTTTTCTTCCCCGGCTTCAGTGTCTTCACGACCGCTTTCCAGAAGTACCTTGGTATCGACCTAAACGTATACATCCCTCTCGTTATCCTCTGCGGCGGCGCTACGTTTGCCTGGCGCTACTTCAGCGAGTACTTGTGGGAAAAAGTTGAAAAGCATCTAATGTCTACCGTTGAGGTCCGCACCGACGATGAGATATACAACATACTCATGTCCTGGGTTGCCGCCCAACGCTTCGCCAAGAACTCACGTCGCTTTGTTGTCAACACCAACCTGAGCTCGCGTTCCTGGTTCCTCTGGCGCTGGGACGATGACGAGGAAGAGAACGATGATGCTTCCTCCACGGACGGATCCCCCTCTGAGTTCGGCCAAAAGAAGAAGCCCCTCGCCTACACACCCAGCTTTGGCAGTCATTCCTTCTGGTACCGCGGTCACCTGCTGCTCTTCAAGCGGAGCCAGAACCGCGAGCAGGCCTCCTACCTGGTTGTTAGCGAGCGCGAGGAGATCAGCCTCTCGTGCTTCGGCCGCAATCCCTGGATTCTCAAGGAACTTCTTCAGGAGGCCCGGGCCGAGTACCAGAAGAAGGACTCGCAAAAGACCATGATCTATCGCGGCAGCACGCGCGCAGGCTCCACTGAGCCCACGTGGCAGCGCTGCATGGCCCGAACCTCCCGGCCCTTCTCGACCGTTATACTCAACGAGAAGACGAAGAAGGACATTGTCGACGATGTCGCCGACTACCTGTCTCCCACGACCCGTAAGTGGTATTCAAACCGCGGTATCCCTTGGAGGCGCGGCTATCTTCTTACCGGTCCTCCTGGGACCGGCAAGTCTTCGCTATCACTCGCGCTGGCTGGCTTCTTTAAGATGAGAATTTACATTGTGAGCTTGAGCTCCATCTCGGCCAACGAAGAGAATCTTGCAACGCTTTTCGCTGAGCTGCCTCGGCGATGTGTCGTTCTCCTGGAGGATATCGACACCGCCGGCCTTACGCACACAAGAGAGGATGTCGGAACTAACGACGCGACTGAACATAAGGAAGGAGGTGGAGAGATGGTTCCTGGACAGCTGACCCCAGGCAACCCCACCAATCAGCCCAGCGGCCGTCTTTCCCTCTCGGGCCTGCTCAACATCCTCGACGGTGTAGCCAGCCAGGAGGGCCGTGTTCTCATCATGACGACAAACCATGTTGAGAAGCTCGACAAGGCCCTCATCCGTCCCGGTCGCGTAGACCAGATCGTCAGGTTCACCCTGGCCGACGATGAGATCATCGGGGCCATCTTCCGAGCTATCTATGCGCCCCTTGAAGGCGACGAGGACGACAACCCCATGCAGCACCCGGACAAGGCACTGAGCCTCGAGACCGAAACGACGCTTGCCGCGCAGGCTGCCAAGCGCACCGCTGACATCGTTGCCAACGTCGAGGCTCTGTCCAAGGCGTTTGTTGACAGGATTCCCGCGCACGAGTTCAGCCCTGCTGAAATACAGGGCTACCTGATGAAGCACAAGCGGAGCGCCGAGGCGGCTGTCGCCGGAGCCGAGGACTGGGTTACGGAGACGCGCAAGGAGAAGAAGGACAAGGAGCTCAAGGCCGCCGAGGAGAAACGGCAGGCCGAGGCTAAGAAGAAGGATGAAGAGGAGAAGAAGCGCAAGGAGGAGGCGGAGGAAAAGAAGAAGCAGGAAAAGGACAGGCGGAAGGAGGAGAGAAAGAAAAAGCGCAGGAGCGAGAAGAAGAGCAGACACAACAAGGAGGTTTCTGATTCTTCTGATTCGTCCGATTCCGGTTCCGGCTCCGGGTCGGAATCGGAAGCCCCAATCAAGGTGACGGTGACAACGGCGGCGGCGGCGGAAGAGACGAAGAGCAGGCCAGTGGTCTCGGACGTCAAACCCCCAAATGGGGTGGACGAAGCCAAGCAAAAGCGAGACTCGGGGTACGGAACCCCAGTGGAGGTTTGAGTTTTAACTTGTACATTATTCTCTTTTAGGCTTCTGGGGAGGATACGGAGGACCACCGCGATCCCGTGTCATAGCGAATGTGTTTGCCACACAGACCAATGAGTTAATACTCACGCCAAGTTGGGGTATCGACAATGCATGACTATGCTTGACTATGCTTTGGACGCAAAATTGTCAAAAGTCTGCCGTCGCGAGTCAGCAGCCAGCCTGACGGCAGTGCAATGGCGTTAAGCCCCAGTGCCTTGGTCGGTGTTGTTGGTGTCTTGACGAACACCGGCTTGACAGTCATCAGCACATGCAATGGTTATTTATCATTGGCCAGACAAGCGCACCCAGCAGATGCACCCAGGCCATGTCACAGAGCCTCGAGGACGTGGACACGGGCAGCTGCAACAACAGCTTTCGTGGGAGATGGCAACGAAGCAGAACATCATCATTCACGGTTCGGTGCGTCGAAGAAAGGGGTCTGACTATGCTTTGCACCAGGCACCGATGGTTTCCGAGACAATGCCATGATGGCACGATAGAGGGTGGGGGCGTGGCGGGTGCGATGATTTTAGACGGCGGAGGCACTCACATGCCTCTCTGCTTTGCCGTGCTATGTGGTGCTGCGTTCCCGAAAATTCTGCCCAAGTTTCCCAATTTTGAGACGACTCGGAAACGGGGAAGGGTTCAGGCCATCTGACCTAGGCAAGATGGCCGATGCGAGTTCCGGTCGAGGTGAGTTATAGAGCCACTTGGTCGAATCGGTCGAAGGGCCTCGGAAATGGAGCTAGCTGGCGGGGTGCAAATCGGCAAGGCTTTTTACACAGACACAATTGCAGGGCTCGTACGGCATATCGCGGAGGGGCGATCAGTCGTGTGGATAAGTCGCGTGTGCTGGTCCTCGCAATCATCGGAGGAGGAGGTAGAATAAGACGGATGTGAATGTCGGAGAACCGAAGCGGCGATGCGAAGCCGAAACTACGAGATTGAGGATGCGAGATAGATAGGTAGGTCGTCGACATTCGGAGACTCGGCGAAAGTCAAGATAGGGCGTGCGAATTTGCAGGGATGCCGTCACACTAAGCAAGGCGGTTGTCAGCTGTGCAGGGGCCAGATGTCAACAGGGTTGGCAGAAGCAGTTTGCCATTGACGCTGCAAGGGTTCCCGTGAAGCTTCGGTAAGCTTGCAGAATCCAAGTTGGGTACAACGGGCAGGATGGGAGGCTCGGCACAGCCACGGTGAAGTCGAATCCCCGGGCTTTTTGACGAGATAATATATCAAGGTGGATTGACGCTTGCGCGATGTGGTGCGGTGGCTTGGTGGCACACCTGTCACCAACACCTTGAATTATTTGATTTCCACTTGCAGTTTTAGGCAGGTAGGTAGGTAGGATAGGTAGTTTACACAGCACCTGTAGCGCACGGGCGGGTGCACCCTTAATCGCTTGCTTGAGCCTGTGCCTGGCTAGGGGGGAATGCGAACTACACCGTATCCAACTGCTTTTAGCAAGATCACCTAAAAAATAAAAGCAAAAAAGGTCAAAGCTTTTGTTCTGTAAAAGCCCCCCCCCCCCCCCCCCCCCCCCAAAAAAAAAACCCCCCCGACACTTTCCCTTCCAGACTGACTTACATCACTAGCTGCGCTCTCTAGAAACTAGATTGGCTGAGCGAAAAAGAACAGCAGTTGAGGTGTTGGAGTAAGATAATAAAA